AAAAAGAAAACAGCGTGGAAATACAGCTTAGCCAAAGGAGTGGCATACTGTCTTGATCCATTAGACACTGGAACTTTTGGCCATAAGCCTTACAATCAGTCACTGAATTTATAAACTAAAGGCTCCAAGCAAATGACCCATGCCTGGGTTGCTAAAACGGCTGGGCAGTGCTTGCTTCTCTTCCTGAGGCCGAAGGTTTGGTTCTCAGCCCCCACATCAGGTGGCCCACAACCACCTGTAACTCTAGCTCCTAGGCAACAACCACCTTCTTTTGGGGCACAAGTAAAACCGTCCCATATACCATACACATCATTAAAAAAAATTAAAGATTTAAAAATTAAAAAGCCCACCGGGCGGTGGTGGAGCACACCTTTAATCCCAGCACTCGGAAGACAGAGGCAGGCAGATCTCTGTGAGTTCCAGGCAGAGCTAGTTCCAGGACAGCCTGGAAACCCTGCCTCGAAAAACCAAAATAACTAACTAAATAAATAAAGCCCAAATTGTTTCAAAGTGAATTACAAAGTTGCTAAACTCCTTAAGGAAGCCCTCTTTCTGCCCTGACCAAAATGTTAGAGGGTGCACACCCACACACATCAACAAGAAAGCCAAAAATCAAAACGAACAAACAAAACCCTAACTCGGTTGTCAGCAGTATTTCTTACTCATTGGAAGAGTTGGGAATTGGGCCAGACTGGGCAAGTGAATTATTAATATTTAGCTGGAGACAGATTGGGTTTCTGAGCACCTTTCTCGGAGTCCTGCTCATTAGACTTAGGAACCCAGGAATAGGGGGCAGGAAAGGTGGAACCAGAAAGATCAGGAAACGGGGGGGGGGGGTAGGGGGGCAACTTGAGAGTGGAGAGACAGCATGCCCAATGTTCCCTCACTGGTCCCTCTCCCATCTTCTTATCTGATGTTAACCATTGATTTTAAAATCAAAGCTTGGACTGGTGGTGGGAGCTCAGTTGGTAGTGGATGTCTAGTATGCACAAGGTCCTAGGTTGGATCCCCAGGTAGAGCATAAACCAGGCATGATAGTACACACCTGTAATCCCAGAAATCAGGACTTGGAGGCAGGAGGACCAGGCGTCCAAGGCCATCCTCCGCTCCACAGAGAGTTTGAGGCCAGCCTGGGATACATGTGCCCCTCAAAACAACAACAAATCGTATCTGGGCTGGGGTGGTTATCTCAGCACTCTGGATACTGAGGCAGGAAGACCAACAGAGGGCAGCCTGAGCTACACGGTGAGTCTCAAGACAACACAGGTGTACTGTGCACTAACCTAACTAACCCTAACCTAACTAACCAACCTAACCCTAAGCACTTCCCAAACACTATCTCCCTAAACTCTCCAGCCTCCCTAGCTGATGGATCTCATCCTAAGACTTGCCCCGGGTCACACGAAAGAATTCAATTCTGTCTGACAGCTGCTCTGCTGGTGTCTCTACTCACCGTCTCTTACTCTACTCCACTACAGGCGGAGGGGGCTGGGTTAAGGCGATGAAAGCAGATTCTAACCCGGATGGCATTTCTAGATACACCGTTTAATGCTGGCTGACAACAACAACAAAAGTTGCTTGAACTCTCTTTGCCTCTGCTTCATTTCTCTATGAGGTACTACCTGAATCCAGGAAGTTAAGACAAACAGCTAAGACCAAGATCCGGCAGTTTTGAGAAGCTCGTGGTCAGGGGTGGGAGTGGAGAGGACTACTGTCAGGTTTTCAGGGCTGGATTGAAAAGCCGGGTCTCTATTAGCAAGCGACTCTAACCCAGTCAACCTCCCTGGGACGGGAGCTTCCCACCGACAGCTCTGAGGCTGCGACTTCACTTTCCTACCAAAAGTATCGATTTGACGGAGCCTCCCTTTAGGAGTCTTCGCAGTGGCCTGCTTGTTCCCATCATACAGATAAGGGCACAGAGGCTTACAGGGAGACGCGCCTAGGTCACAAAGGAGGGCAGAGGAAGGAATCTGAAAGCTGACCTGGCCACACCACTATCTGTCCGGATCCTACCGGGGCTGGAAGGATGCTAAAGGTGGTCTCTACGGACCCCTTCTGGCCATATCAACCCAGAGTCCCGTGACTGCCCTGTTTCTCGGGAGTTCCTGGTTGTATTAGGGCAAGACACAGGCAGCCACGTTCCTAAACTCGTGCGCCCCACAACGCCTCCCGGTCCCAGAAGCTAACCTACACCGTCGCTGACTTCTGCCCCCCACCTCAACTTGCCCGGCCGCCCCACCTCGCAGTCAGAGAACTCACCCCAACTGCATCCGCGGCTAGCCTCTCCCTTAACTCTTCCAGCCCCGACTCCCATGCCTCCCCATGCACACCAGGCTAACTACCACATCTCTCGAAATTACCCACTCCAGGGTCTCTTGCCTCGAGGTCCAAGCCAGGGCTCCAACTCCGGAGCCACACTCCTCGAGCTCCGAATCCCCTTCACAGCCAATTCCAAAGCTCGACTCTCTCTCCAGCTCCAAGACCCCTCCCTAGCCCCCATTCTCCTACTCCCCGGGGCTCCCACCCTCCCCATCCCCACCCACAGCGATCTCCCCACGCCCAACCCTTTCTCCAGCTTCAGGTTTGTTTCCTCTCGAACCCAGGTCCAGAACCCCACCCCCCGCCCCCGCCCATCCTCTCGAACACCCGCAGGACCCGGCTGGGCGCTCTCACCATCTCCCCGCGCTGCAGCTCGCTCGACTACGCGGGTTTCCCCCACTCGCTCCTCTCCAGCCTCCCCTTCCGGGTTCTCGCCCCGAAGCCCGCTGGGAATTGGAGTACGGGCGGCCATGGACTACAGCTCCCGATACGCAGCACGGTCCCTGGGAGGCGGAGGCGGAAACCAACAAGGAGGGCCGAGAAATAGAACTACTCGAATTCCCAGGAGGCAAAGGGCGCACAGCTGCGCAGGCGCAGCAAATTCACCCGCGAGGCTCTCTGGGAAATGGAGTCCAGCCGGCCGGCTCCATTTTGGCCCGAGGCCCTTGAAAAGGGAATTGAAGCTATTTCAAAAGGGACGTTTGTGAGGGATGGAGAGTTGATAAAGAAAAAAAAAAAGACTTATTTATGTTATTTAACAATTGATAATATATGCGGTTTTCCAAACTCTCCCATTCTTCAACCTCCATCTCACACCCCACTTTGGCCTGCCGCTACCTCCTAATACACAAATAAGAAGAACAAGATATTGGAGTGAGGAAATTCCAGGCACTATGTTTATATACCAGGTAGAGCAGAGCGTCCAGAAAGTACCCTGGTTAGGCAGCTGTTGGCACTTCAGGAGGATGGGGATGGAACAGGAGTGGGTCAGGTATCCTGGCACTCGGAAGCCACAGAATACTGAGTGTTACACAGCTCAGGTAGAAAGGTATCCTGGAGCTCGGAAGCCGAGGATACTGAGTGTTACACAACTCAGGTGGAAAGGCATCCTGGAGCTCGGGAGCCAAGGACCACCACAGGTTGCAGTAAGCTTGGCAGCTTACAGCCCAGCCTCAGAGAAAGGCTTCTCCGGTGTATCAGCTCCACTCCGGCAGGACAGTGTCTTCCAGCTGGGGATGTTCGCCCAGTGTAGCAGTTTTGCTCGCAGGAGGTTTCTCAGGGGAAGTTGCTACAGTTCAGCTCTGCTCCTGGAGAGCGGAGAGCGGGAGCCGGGAGCAGAGTGTAACAACTCTGCTCTGCCAAGGGAGGTTTCCCGGGGAAGTGTTACGGCGCTGCTGGCTCTGCTCTGCCCAGGGTCTCCTCTGCTCTGCCGCTGCAAAACAAGATCTTCACCCAAAGCTCATTGAAGGGGTTTATTGGGAGGGAAGAATCTAGGAGAGTGGCAGGGGACAGCCAGGTAGCACCAACAGCCACAAGCTGAACAGACACAGGGTTTATATAGGGCTTCCAGGGTGGGGATTGGTCAGATTTCAATGCTGATCTCAGATTGGCTAGAGCTCTGCTCAGGGATTGGTTGGTTTTCTGCACAGGATTAGGGTCAGATTTGGCTCTGGTTTCAGGGTCAAAGTGTGTTTCTTTCTCTGGTCCTTTTTAGCCTTTTGGCTCCAATTTTAGGGCCAGGGTGCATTTCTTTCACTGACTCCGATTCCAGGGGCAAAGTGTGTTCCTTTGGCACTGGTTTCAGGGTCAGGGTACATTTCTTTGGTTGTGGTTGCAGGGCCCAAGTGTGTTTCTTTGGCTCTGCTCAGGGTGTGTTTCTTTGACTGGTCCCTTTTCCCTACAGCAGCTAGAACAGTATTGAGTTCATGCTCTTTGACTACTTTGGACTACCCTAGCAAGAACTAGCCCACGTTTCTAGAAGGGAAGGTGAAGGTGAACATAGATTAAGCCTCTCGGTCCACATCGTAACTCTGAGCAGTTACCCCGAGGCACTTGCCATAGCTAGGTGTCTAAAAAAGTGTCTGAACATATGCACGCGCACTCACACACACACACACTCATGCACACTCACACTCACACCTCCCATATCGGTGTACGTGAGAATGTGTTTTCATTGATGTCATTTACGTGAGCGGATGTGGGAAGTCGTTGATTTCCCCCCTCCCACTACGAGTCCCAGGGACGGAGCGCAGGGCGGGAGGCAGCAGGGGCGTTTATCCACGGAGTCACCTTACCAGCCCCAGAGAGCCTTTAAAAATGCACAGTCTGGGATGGCCGTGGTGTCCACACCTTTAATCCCACCACTCGGGAGACAGAGACCGGCGTGTCTTCGTGAGTTTGAGGCCAGCCTGGTCTACCTACATACTGAGTTCAAGGCTGTGAGCGTCCCCCAAGTCAAAAAAACAAAGATGAACAAATAAGCCTGGTCTACAAAGTGAGTTCCAGGGCAGGCTCCAAAGCTACAGAGAAACCCTGTCTCGTAAACAAAAAACAAGAAAAAACCAAAAGGGCTGGGCTGAGATGGCACTGGCAGCCTGCCCGTCCCCGTCCCGGAGGAGCACGAAGCTTTCTCCCTGCCTGCTGCTGCAGGGATCGGCCAGGGCCGGGCAACAGGGCGGTGGGCACTCAGAATGCCTTTTCCCGCCCTCTGCCCCACCAGGCATTGCAACATGGTGCTGGAGAACGTGAAGGAGATGTGGACCGAGGTCCCCAAGAGCGGCAAGGGCAAGACGACGACGCCCAAGCCTGTCAACAAGGACCGCTACATTTCCAAGGTGGGTCGTCGTGGCCTCTTCCCTCCGCGAGGGGCGAGAGGCTGCTCGCGCCCTGCGAGTCCCGCCCCACGGGATGGAAATGAAACAACCCTGTGGATTTCGTTGTTGTTTGTTCCCGACGGGCTTGTCTGCCCTTGGGTGTCGGGAACCAGGCTGTCTCGGGCACAGGACGTGTGTGAGCACATGAGGGACAGCTCTGCTCCATCTACGTGCGAGCCGGCTTAGACAGAAACCACGCACTGCGGCGGGGGGATCCTCTGGCAATTTGGGGGCACAGATGGGAAAGATGGCCTGCTTATTGTAAAAGGGCGGTGGGGACCCCGCCTCGCCCCTGACTGTTCACAGCGGGAGTGCCGACGACACCTCACTCTCCCTCCCGAGACCCCGGGGCGGGCGAGTCCTGCTAGTATCCAAGGGCAATGGGCCAGGGGGCGGGGCGAGGCCAGGGGTCGGGCCGAGGCCAAGGGGGCGGGGCCTCAGGAAAAGGCGGGTGGTGGAACGAGAGCTGATTGGCCGGCGCTCGGGAGCGGGGAGGAGGAGCGCCTGTCAGAGCCGCCAGCTGCCGAGCGCGCGTGCGCGCGCGCGCCGCCCCGCCCCTTTTCAACGCCTCCTCGGCTGGCGGGGGGCGGGGCCCCGGCACCGCGTGGCGGGAACGTGGAGGGGGCGTGGCCTCGCGTCAGGCGCTCCGGCGAAGTCGCCTCGCGCCCTGCCATTCCCTCGCTCGCTGGCTCGGGGCGGTCCCCACGGCATCCCCGGGGCGCGCGGGAGCCGCTGTCCTCGCCCGCTGGGCGGCCCAGGCATGGGCCCGGGCGTCAAGCCAGAAGCCGAGCCTTCTCGCCACTTTGCAAGTCTTGAGGCGGGTGCTGGTGGCCCCGCGGGGTGTGGGGCGGGGCGGGGAGCTTGGAGACCCCGGGGTGGCACTGGCGAGGGCGGCCGCCTCCTCGGGGGCTCCAGGGGTGGAGCAGGACCCCCGAGCCTGAGGCAGCTTTGAGGCCAGGCCTGGGTCGTGTGTGTGTGTGTGTGTGTGTGTGTGTGTGTGTGTGTGTGTGGCAGGGGGCGCATGGCGGGCGGGGAGGCGGCGCCGCGCAGGCTGAAGCTGGATTTCTGGAAAGTTCTTTCCCAGTGGCGTTGGAGACGCGGAGCCTGCTCTTTGAGGCTCGGCTTTTGGAATCTGAAGTCGGGTGACCCGGGGGTTCCAGAGTTAGCATGCGGAGGGGCGGAGACCTGACTGGACGGGTCGGGGCTTTGCCGGCGTCCGTCCCTGGAGAGACTGTTGGGGTCCGAAAGTCGGGGGTCTGCGGGCCGGCTCTGAGAATTAACTTGGAGGCCTCGAGTTGCCCCCACTGATGGTACCCGGGCGTCGACTTCACAGTCCTAGGTCCCACTGGGACGGACGCACTCGGGAGATCTACGTTTGCTAAGGAGATCGCAGTTTAAGGAGCTGTAGGGACGGTTTTGGAGTCTGCAGACATTTATTGTAGGACATGAGACGCTTTTTTTTTTTTTCTGTGAAGGGGGTGAGTTTTGTTACGGAGGACCCTGGATAGTCTTCCTATTATGATTTTGGGCTTTTCGGCATTACGGCTTGTGGTTTGAGCTGGGTGTGGTGATTCACACATAGGATATTTCATGAGCTGGAGTCCAGCCTGGACTACATAAGCCTGAACTAAGTCTGCTGAGACCCTGTCAGAAAAAAAAAATAAGAAGAAAGAAAGAAAGAAAGAAAGAAAGAAAGAAAGAAGTGTGGTTTGTGATCTTGGTGTTAGGATTAAGGTCCTATTTGAGGGTCAATAGTCAAATTTCGCACATCCAGGATTTTCAGGGTTTGGAAGCACCTTTGGGGAATTTGGCCCTTACTTTGGGATTTTATTTACTTATTGGTGGTTTCGTGGTGTTTTTTTTTTTGTCTTTTTGTTTGTTATTGTTTTTTTGAGAGTGTGTCTCACTATGTAGATTAAAGGGGTGACCACTAAGCCTGGCTCACTTTAGGGTTAATTATTTATTTATTTATTCTATTTTTGTGTGTGTGTAACTGGAGTAGGTCAGAAAAAGGTATCAGATCCCATGGAACTTGAGTTAGAGACAGCTGTGAGCCACCATGTGGGTGCTAGGAATCAAATCCAAGTCCCCTGGAAAAGCAGTCTGTGCTCTTAACCACAGAACTATTTATCTAGCTCTCGCTCTGGGATTTAAAAGTCAGTTTTCATCTGTTAGTAACACCATCTAGCCGGGAGGGATAGAGCCAGGTGAATCTCTGTGAGTTCAAGAGCAGCCTGATCTACATAGGGAATTCTAGGACAGCACGAGCTACATAGATAGACCTTGTCTCAACCCCCCCACCCTTTCTAGGGGTCTCAAGCCATAGTTTTCAGTCCAGAGAGTTTGTATTTCAGCCTTCGGTATCCCATTATCGATGCCTGAATTCTGAGATCAATGTCTGGGAATTTGCTCATTTTAGTTTTAGGTCCAAATTTTGGGAGCTTAAATTTGCCATTTGGGATTCGTGGTCCTGTATTTAGAGTTTAGGGTTTTAATTTAGATCCCTGTGCCCATAGTTATGACCTATTTTAGGATCTCTGAGTGCTTTTAAAGATGCACCGTGGGGGTGGGGAGGGGTGTGCGATTTTTGTCCCATTCATTCTGGAGTCCCGAAGGTCACTAACAATTTGTTTCTCTCTGTGCAGATGTTGGGTTCCGGCAGCTACATGTGTTTCCCTGAGGAGCTGAGAGCTAGTCCTTTGAGTCCTACTGACAGGTAATGGTCCTCACCCCCCCACCACACCACACCCCCACCCCCAGTGTGGTTTTAGCCTCTCTGAACAGAATAATAGTAACAACACAATGTTACGAGATACTTAACGTTTCCAGATTGTTTATTTAGTCCTTTGATTGTATCTAGTAACCATTTAAGCCACCTGACAAAGAAGCAGAAGGGAATATTCCCGCCATTTTCCAGAGAGGGTTCTGAGGTGATTTCAGGGTTTGATGTTCTTGGGTTTTTCTGTTTGTTTGTTTGTTTGTTTGTTTGTTTCCAGTGCTGGATGTGAACCCAGGTCCTTATGGTGTGAGGTGTTAAGGAACTTTTTTTTTAAATCAGTATACTCCCAGTCTGATGTTCTTTCCTTTTTCTTTTAATTTTCTGCTTTGTTTTGTGCGTGCAATGCCTGTGGAGGTCAGGAGAGGGCACAAGATCTCTCTAGAATTGCTGTACAAAGAGTTGTGAGCCATTTTGGGGGTGCTGGGATTGCAACCTGGGCCCCCCTGTCAGAGCAGCAAGTGCTCTTAGTTGCTGAACCATCTCTCCAGCCCCTCTAATTCTGAAGTTCTTGAATGTTCTTTCTTTTATTCACACCTTACTCACTCACCCATCATCACTTATAAAATGTTCGGAATCTTTTGGGTGCTGGGGGTGAGAGGGAATGCTAAAACAGCCCTCAGGGCCACATGCATGATAGACAGGCAACGCTTTACCACTGAGCTATATCCCCAGCTCAGTGACAGAGGTTGCTTCAAGCCGACTCTCCCTAGGAAGGCAGGATGACTCCTAGCTGCTCAAGTCCATATCCTGCCTGCTTGATCACCCCCACCCCAACCTCTTTTCAAGACTTACTGAGTTAGTCATGGTAACTTCTTAGGTGAACCTTGGTTCCACCGTCCCTTTCAGTGGGAGAAATAGGCTCAGCCTCTCTGAACAACACAAACAGAGGGAGAGGAGAGGCTGCCCAAAGGACAGTTGAGGAACTGCTTGCTACCAGAGAGGGGGAATGGGATGTTGGTTAAGCAAAAACAGCAATTATCAACAGGTCATTCAGTAATCTGTGTGCCTCATAAGTTATCACCCCTAAGTCCTAAATAATTTTGAGAAATGACTGTACCCTCTTTTTTCAGCTTCTCTGAGACAAGGTTTAGTTCTATTCTGGGTTGGCCTTAAATTCGTAACAGTCCTTCTGCCGTACATGCTCAAGGGCTGGAATTATAGGTGCAAGCCATGCAAGGACATAGATGAATAAGATCTGGAAGATGGCTTGGTGGACAAAGTGCTTGCTTGCCAGGCAAATCACAAGGGTGTGAGTTTGGTCCCCTGACACCCACATGGGAAAGCAGGTGCAACAGCGCATGCCCGTGTGCTCAGGGAAGGTGGGGACGGGGGTGGGGTGGGGGGTGGGAGGGGTTCTTAGCCCTTCTGAGTCTGGCTGAATCTGTGAGCTCCAGGTTGAGAAAGAGACTGTTCATAACGTAAGGTTGGGAGTGACTCAGAAAGACACTAAATTTGGACCTCAGGCCTCTACACCACACACACACACACACACACACACACACACACACACACACGTGCACACACACATGGGGGGCGGGGTGATGATAAAGAGGCCTAAATGATGAGTTTCATGCTTTGCTTTCTCTACCTTGAGGCTCTTATTAAGCAAGGCACCCGCATTTTCATTGATAGTGTCCCCTCACACTTCACATGGCTCCCTCTGATCCGAGTTGCTGTCTCGTGTGTCACCGTGGTTGAGCTCCTTGTTTCTGACTGGACCCTCAGCTCCAGAAGAACTGCTTGCCCTTTAGGCTCTTGTCCTTGTCCCTCACAACTCCTGACACACAGTAGGTGCTTGCTAACTACTGCTGAATGAGTGGGTGAGAGACGTTTGTGACATTCACCGACTTGTTCTATGGAAAGGGAGGGGTGTGGCACTACGTGTGGAAATCAGATGACAACTTGCAGGGCTCAGATCTTTCCCTCCACCACGCAGGTTCCAGAGACGGAGCCCGGGCCGCCAGGCCTGCCCACGGGCGCCCGCACACAGGGAGCTCATTCAGGCCTCTGTCTGCCCCACCCCCCCCACCCCACTTTCATTGCTCCTTTCTTCTTTTTTCTTCTTCTTCAGTGTCTGGGGTGGGATCAGGTGTCTCAGGCCGACTAGGCAAGTGAGCCACACCCCTTGCCTCTCTCACTGCTAATTCTTTACCCTTGTTTTGTTTTTGTTTTGGGGGCCTTTTTTTTTTTTTTTGGTTTGGGTTTTCCCTTTTGTTTTCACTTTTGAGACAGGGTCTCATGTGTCCCAGCTAACTGTAAAAACCACTGTGTAATTTAGGATGACTCTAAACTCCTGAGTCTCCTGCTGCCACCTCCCAATGCTGGGATAACAGGCCCTGCCAGCATGCCCAGCTTCCACTGGTGAATTCTAAGACCCCTGAGTCACACTCTCAGCCCAGAAAGATGAGTATACCCCCCCACACAGAGTCCGGTCTCCCCACAGGAAGAGCCTAGAGAAACTCTCCCTCTCCATGTGAGGCTCAGCGCCAAGCCCGGGGGAACAGTGCATTACGGCCAATCGCAGCTCACCCTGCACCTGTGACTGAAGGGTTGCTTTGTTGTGGACAGGGCACAGCCATTTGGGGGGGGGCGGGGACAAGAGGAAGGTGTGAGGAGAACTGGTGACAGGTGCCCTGTGAGCCGTGGGTGCTGTGTAACTTGGGAGAGGAAGCCCTCATCTTTATGGCTCCACTCAGTGGTGTTCTGTGTGCGTGTGTGTGTGTGTGTGTGTGTGTGTGCGCGCACACACGCTAGCATGGGTACCTCATGAATTATGCAATTGGGGATCAGGCCCTGGAAGTTGCCTTTAGCAAACACACACTAAGTTTCCAGAGTGTCAGAGCCCAGTGCCTGTGCCAGGGACACAGTGACAGTGATGAGCTGCAGGGACACTGCTCACCCACCTTGTGTGGTGAGAGTCGTCAGTGTGAAAGAGGCAAGGGAACACTAAGACAGAGACCAGCGGGGCCAGAGAGGAGAGGACGCTGTGAGACACACAGAGGCTTGTCGTGCACACTTGTAAGCCCAGGGCTTGGGAGACTACAGCAGGGGGACTGCTGAGTGAGTCCTTTCTGGGCTGCATAACGAGACCCTATCTTTAAAAAAAAACAGCCCAAATTGCTCCTTAGCAAGGGGTGACAGTCAGATTTGTGTTTAGAAAAGCTCCTGCTGCCTCAGAAACTATAGATGCAGGAGGCCAGATGGGAGGCTGGGAGTCCTGTGAGGATTTGAAGATGGCCATGCAAAGATTAGGGGTTAGCAAGCAGTTGGGGGGTGGGGGTGGGCAAGATTTGGGGACCTATTTGTCTAAGAGATAGAGGAAAAGAATACATTCTGACGATGCCCGAGACTCTGTCTTGGGTGTCCCAGAGTGGGGTTGAGGACAGCCTTGACATGAGACTGAAGGTTTGGGAGCAGGTAGCAGACCTTTAAAGCTGTATGTGGTGGCTCACGCCTGTCATGTTGCACTCAAGAGGCTGAGGCAGGAGGATCACATCACCTTGTCTCCAAAAGCTACACTTAACCAAAATTGGCTCTCATCCCAAACAGGAAGGATAAGAAGAACCACACAAACAAGCTTCGGGAGCTGGCCTTGCTGATCCCTGTGACCATGAAGAGCAGAAACAAGAAGCACACCAAGGTGTGGGGCCTGAAGGAGAGGAGGCGGGTGGGAGGAAGGGTGTCCAGAGCAGTAAGTGGGGCCCTCCTAGGAAATCCACGCAGGCCCTCTCAGTGATGGGTGGCAAGCAGGGGGCGGTCTTGCTCTGAGCAGGAGTTTCTGGGAGTTCATGATCCACCGGGGTTCTTTTCTTTAGAAGCCAGGTCCTCACCCAGTCAACAGGCACTGCTCCACCGAGCCATACTCCCAGCCCTGTGGGTTCTTTCAGGGTAAGAGGTGGGGCGGGTGGAGCAGGGGCCGGAGACAGCTCAGTCAGCACTGTTCCTCAGGCATGAGAGCTTGAGCTCCATGACAGAACCCACAGAAAGCTACGTATCATGAAATGTCTTACTGCACGCTTGTAGTGGGTCAGCCAACCTAGCCTAATCAGCCAGTGAGCTCAGGTCACGTTGAGAGACTCTGTTTCTGAGAGAGAGAGAGACAGAGACAGAGAGAGAGAGAGAGAGAGAGAGAGAGAGAGAGAGAGAGAGAGAGAGAGAGAGGGAAAACACCACAGTGGACAGCCCCTGAGGAATGACACTGAAGATGACCTCTGACCCGACATGTGTGTGCACACTGGCCCCCACATGAACGTGCACACACACACGCGCACACACACACACACACACACAGAGACAGAGGCAAAGGGACTGGGAGTGGACACGTGGAGGCAGAGGTCACAAGCAGAGCAGAGCCCTGCAGCCTCACAGCTGCTGCCTGAGGCTCCTCCGTCTCTCAGCCCCAGCTTCTCAGTTGTTACAAGGAAAGAATAAGCCGGCCTAGTGGCCCACGATTTTAATTCCAATGCTCAGCAGGCAGAGGCAGGCGATCTCTGTGAGTAAGAGGCCAGCCTGCTCTACAGAGTGAGTTCCAGGACAGCCAGAGCTACACAGAGAAACCCTGTCTCGAAAAACCAAAACAAAATAAAAAGAGGAAAGATCATTTCGATTACTGAGCAATACTGCAAGACAAAAATAATGTCTTGGCCTGCAGTTTATCAGCAGAGCTCTTGCCTATCATGTGCAAGGTTCTAGATTTCATCCTTGGTTTGGGGGTGAAGTACAGACGGAAGAAAGCTGTGGCCTTTCATTCTAGCACATGGGAGGCTGAGGCAGGAGAATTGCAAGTTCAAGGTCTGTCTGGTCTACAGCATGGGCAGCTTAGCGAGCCCTCGTTTCAAAATACAAATGTAAGCAGAGGACTGGGGAGGTAGCTCAGAGGTAGAGGCTTGCCTTGGGCACACAAGGCCCTGAGTTCAGAGAGAGACTCAGGGGAGAGTGCATTATCTTTTCCTTTGGCAACTTACAAAGGCCTCACACCCAGCAAGCCATCAACAAAGTCTTTTCAGGGCTCCTCTGTTCTTAAATGGTCTCCCCACCATTGACCTTCCTGCCTCCCTCTTACAAAGATCCTCATGGCTGTCTTGGGCTCATGTGGGTAATCTCAAGTAATCTCTCCATCTCCAGATCTTTAACTCAGTGACATCTGTAAGTCCCCTTGCTCTATAAGGCAGCCTATTCACAGGCATGGGACTAGGATGTGGCTGCCTTTGGGACTGGGATGTGACAATGGGGGAATTTTCCTGTGTCGTCAAGCATTTGCATATTTGGTGTGTACAGGTCCTGTCACAGGAGCCCGGGAAGCCATGGATGAGACACATTTCCTGCCCTCAAGGAATGAGTCTGATAGTCTACGACTGACGAGATGTCCACCTCCTTTGGAATTATCTCTAGGGCTGTCTTTTTTTTTATCTTTAAGTTATTTTTTAAATTTTTTTATGTGCATAGGTATTTCCCGAATGTGTGACTATTACAGAAGAGGGTGTTGGATCTCCGGGAGGTGGTTGTGAGCCACCCATGGGTTCTTGGAAGAGAGCCTGGGTCCTCCAGAAGATCAGCTAGAGCTATCATCTGATGACCCAACTCTCCTGCTCTAGTTCCCCACCTTTTTCTTCTTCAATAATTAATGTGTTTGTAGTACCAAGCATTGAACCCAGGGCCTTGTGTATACTAGATACACACTCTTCACTGAACTATACTTGTTCCTGAGAATAGGCCTCACTAAACTGCCTAAACTTGGAGTCCTTTACCTCTACCTCCTGAGTGGCTGGGATTCTGGGTCTGTATCCCCAGGCCTGGTTTCCTTCTACTTTTCTTTGTGTTGTCTTGGTTTTTTTATGACAGGGTTTTTCTGTATAGTCCTGACTGACCTGGAACTCACTTTGTAGACCAGGCTGGCCTCAAACTTAGATCCTCCTGCCTCTGCCTTCTGAGTTCTGGGATTAAAGGCGTGCACCACAAACGCCTGGCCCCAATGAGCTATCTTGCTAGCCGAGTTTCCTCATTTCTGATGCCCTTTGGGTGGAGAGTTCTACCAGGGCAAGGACTCCAAAGGATGACTTCCTAGCATCCAGCCTAGAGCAGATATGATTAATAACTGTTGCTCCCAATTTACTGTGAATTCCTGGAATCAGACCCCAAATGTGGAGTATTTTAAATACACCTCCTTTAAAAACTAGTTTTAAATTGTTTATTTGGTGCAAGTGTCATGACACAGTTGCAGAGTCAGAGGACAAATTGAGAGGGAGTCAGTTCTCTCATGTGGGCTCTAGGGAGTGAACACAGGATGTCAGATTTAGTGTCCTTCCCTGACAAGCCATCTCACAGGCCTACCTTCTTTTTTCACTTTGAGACAGTCTTTCTACATAGTTGTGCTTGGCTTGGTACTTGCTTTATAGCCCAGAGTGGCCTCAAACTAATGGCAATCTTCAGCTTCTGGTGTTGTGACTATAGGCCTGTGCCACCACTCCTGGCAAGGCTGTGAGAGATATATGGACATGCTCACTTTTGGGGGGTGGGTGTTGGGACAGTGTTTCTTTTTATAGCCCTGGCTGTCCTGGACTTGGCTGTGTAGACTTAGCTGGCCTCGAACTCAGAGATCCACCTGAGTGCTGAGATTAAAGGTGTGAGCCTCCATACCGGGCAGCATGCTCACTTAAAAAAGTTTCTTATGTCTATTTACTCTATTTTATATGTATGAATGTTTTCCCTGAATGTATGTATGTGCACCGTGTGTGTGAAGGTCAGAAGAGTGTGTCAGATCACCTGGAATAAGAGTTACAGGGAGCTGTGAGCCTTCCATGACATGGCTGGGATCCAAACCCACGTCCTCTGCAAGAGCAGCAAATGCTCTTAACTGCTGAACCAACTCTCTAGCCCCTGGAAATGCTCACCCTTTGGTTTAAGAAATTCATGAAGAAGGCTGGGCATGGTGGTTCACGCCTTTAATCCCAGCACTCGAAGGCAGAGGCAGGGGGATCTCTGTGAGCTCAAGACGAGCCTGGTCTACATAGACAGCTAGAGCTATAGAGGGAGAAACAAAATAGGCCTGGCGGTGGTGACGCACGCCTTTAGTCCCAGCACTCAAGAAGCAGAGGCAGGTGGATCTCTGTGAGTTCGAGGCCAGCCTGGTCTATGGAGTGAGTTCCAGGACAGTCAGGGCTACACAGAGAAACCCTGTCTCAAAAAATAATAAAACGAAACAAAAAATAAAGAAAATAAAACAGACCAGCCACAAAAACCTATGTGTTTAAAAAAGAAGAGGGGAGGTGGGGGTGCAGTGAAAGAGAATGAGGACACATCACTCTAAAGGCCTGTGCCCAGTCATTCAGTCACTCAGGGTTCAGCAGATGTTTGTTGATTAATTCTGTTGTAACTGGAGATGGTCTCTGAGGCTTCACCTTCTAGTTGTAGCTGCCAGATCATGTTCCTAAAGCACCAAGACTGAGCCTTCTAGCTGGGTATGGAGGCCATGCCTATAATTCCAACACCTGGGAGGCTGAAGCAGGAGGGTCAGTTCGAGGCCAGCCTGAGGTACATAGTGAGAGCCTGCCTCAAAAACAAACCAGAAACGGCTTTCTATCTGAAGTCAGGGCTGGAGTCCAACCACCTTTGCTTGTTCCTCCTCCTCCTCCTCTCCCTCCTCCTCTCTCTCCTCCTCCTGCTCCTCCTCCTCCTGCTCCTCCTCCTCTTCCTCCTCCTTCTTCTTTCTCCTCCTCCTCCTCCTTTTTTAATAGGGTTTCACTGTGTAGCCCTGGCTGTCTTGTCCTGGAACTTGCTCTGTAGACCAGGTTGGCCTCGAACTCAGAGATCTGCCTTCCAGGTGCACTCTTTTCTCTTTCAATCCCTTGAAGATAATCTTTGAAGGTAATCTCATTCAAGCACTGACTAAGGCCTTTTTAAAATTGTGTGTGTGTGGTATGGTGTGTGTGTGTGGTATGGTGTGAGTGAGTGTGTGTGTGGTATGGTGTGTGTGTGTGTGGTATGGTGTGTGTGAGTGTGTGTGAGTGAGTGTGTGTGTGGTATGGTGTGTGTGAGTGTGTGTGGTATGGTGTGTGTGAGTGTGTGTGTGAGTGTGTGTGTGGTATGGTGTGTGTGAGTGTGTGTGGTATGGTGTGTGTGAGTGTGTGTGTGTGAGTGAGTGTGTGTGGTATGGTGTGTGTGAGTGAGTGTGTGTGGTATGGTGTGTGTGAGTGAGTGTGTGTGTGGTATGGTGTGTGTGAGTGTGTATGGTGTGCGTGAGTGTGTGTGTGCGTGTGTGTGCGTGTGTGTGTGTGTGTGTGTGTGTGTGTGTGTATCTGGGAGGGTGGCAGGAGGGTTCTTTCTCTCAGTCCTTTTCTTGCCTCTCTCTCTTTCTATGGAGTCTTGCTATGTAGCCTGTATTGTCCTGGAATTCTCAATCCTCCTGCCTTAACCTCCTAAGTACTGGGACTACAGGAGTGTTCTAGCATGTCTGGCTGATAATTTGAAATGATTTTTGTGTTGGCTTTTAGTTTTGTATCTCCTGTAGCAGCTCAGGGGGTATTTCGTGGCAGTGGTGGGCAGGCAGTGTCTGCCCACTGACCAGAAGCACCCTGCTGGGTGCTGTGAGAAATCCGCTGCTTTAAAAGCCCCCGGCTGAGCCCCCTCCATTCTCTACCTTTGGGATACAGAGATGAGTTAGCGAATGCCCTGCCTCAGCTAGCTCAAGGTCAAAGGGACGAAGAACATGAAACAGACAACAGAAAGCAGTGGGCTGATATGGAGGTGGACAGAAGGCCAGGCTGATAGAGTGCTGGGGTGTGGGAAGCTGACCCGGCCTGGGCAAGATGGTCGGAAGGGGAGGGGACTGTGCTGCAGTTGAGAGGAGGCAGGTGAGAGCGCCTGTGGGGAGAGGAGTGAGAAGACCAGATCGGGAAGTAAGCGTGAGCAGAGGGCCTGCTGCCAGAACCCAGCATGCACGCCAATAACGGGGACCAGGCAGCAGGCTGCTCCCTCAGATTCCAGCTCTGCCACTCTGTTTCCTTGTCTTCAGCTGGCTCTCTAGGACAAGCTAGGGGCTAGACAGCAGAATGGGTGAAGCTCTGCCAATAAGGCTGCTGGGGTATGCGTGGAGAGTGAGCTGTGAGGTACTCCCTGTCTCTGTTCCCCAGGAGTCACTCACACTGTCCTGAGCCTGATCTTGTACAAGTCAGGGTCTTACAGAAGGCATCCTAAGCTGGCTTCAAATCATGGTCCTGCCACCTCTGCCTCTCGTGGAGCCCAGGGGGCAGATGGGCAGTGTGCCCACGAACAACCCTGTCTCTGCAGAAGGAGATCCTGCTGCGAGTCCTGCACTACATCCAGTACCTCCAGAGAAGCATCGACTCGGCCAAGGCTCTGCTCAGACTGCACGGCAGCAACAGCAAAGGTGGGTCTGTGGGTGAGCAGCTCACTCCCAGTGCCTCTGTGCCGCATGTCTTCCCAAGTGTCAGGGAAACCAATCGCCGTCAGCGAGGTGAGCAAGGTGCTGTAGGAGAGCCAGCTGTGACGGCTCACACCTGCTACTCCAGCACCCAGAGGCCAGCCTGGGCTACAGAGCAAGACCCAGTCTCAAGGAAACAAAGCAAAACATGGATACTGTGTTTTGGAGTTTGGAGGAGGAATCCTGAGAGCTTGATCTTCAAGGACAGCACAAGGAAACCCTGCCAACTGCAGAACCACTCTGACCAAGAGCGTGTGGGCATGAGGAAACAGGGAATGTTCAGGACAGGCTGGGTGAGCAGGGGGTGAGGTCTGAAGGGAGAGCAGAGCAGTCTTAGAAGATTGGACCAGGGAACATCGTGCTCAGATTAGTTTGCTTTCGTTTTTATTTTTCCTTTGGTTTTTGTTGTTGTTTCGTTTGTCTTGTTTTGTTTTTGAGACAGACTATTGCTGTATAGCCCAGACTGGCCTCAATCGTGCAGTAACCCTGCCTCAGCCTCCGAAGTGCTGGGATGACACATGTATGTTCTTATGCCTTCCTGCCCTATCCTTTGACCTCTCGGCTGTGCAGCCATAGACCTCAGTTTCCTTGTTTGTAAAGTCTGCCTGAAGACCTTCCCACCTCCAGGGTCGGAAAGCATTGTCTGGGAGGAGGAGAGTGTGCAGGACCGAGAGTGGGCTCTGATCTGCTCCCTTCTCCACTCCCAGGACTGGGTCAGAACCCATCTGCTGGCCCAACCCGGCGGAGACACTCCACCCCCCCCAGCTCTCAGAAGTCATGCCTTTGGGGCACCTGCTCGAGACCCCGAAAGAAGAAGTTCACCCGAGTGTCAGGTACATGTGGCCTCTGGAGGCAGGACAGGGTGGTGCTGTTGCGGAGTAGGCTCCTCCTGTAGGGACTCACTGGGCTAAGTCCTCCAGTTTTTGCCTGAGTCCACTCCCAGGCTTCCCAGGGGGCTCTGAGGCATAGGGTGGCCTTCATTCCCTCCTCATTGGGACAGGCACCAGTCCAGGCCCTCTCAAGGTTACAGAAAAGCCTGAGCAGACACTGCCAAGCAGTGCTCCTATCAGAAGCTCTGCAGGGCCCAGGAAAGGATGCTGCTGTCATCATTTACTGTCCTTGACCTAGTGCCCAGGGGAGGTGGGCTGGGAGGAAGACCCAAGCGCAGAGGCCAGGAGTCCTGGCTCTAGCCCAGCCTCGCCATCCCCTCACTCCCTCCCCTTAAGGCCCTCCGTGTCAAAAGCCCGTGGAATGGCACTATGGCCGACCTGATCACTTGTTTCTAGTCATGGCTGCATGATGCGGGTGCCCTGCACCTGGCGGGACAAGAAACGCCAACACAGCTGCACGTTGGAAGTGCTTAGAAACTTCCTGTGTGTGCCGTGTCCCCAGAACGCTGGCGCCGTTGGCCTGGTGTGCAGTGTCCCCTCACAGTGCATGCCCTGTCGGAGCTGAGGCATGTTGACTCACTTGGCTCAGGAGGAGCTGGGCACACCTGATGTGCTGGCGAGCGCTCAGGCCAGGCAATTCTCTGGGATGGGACAACACACAGCACACGAGTTCCCTCCATGAACCAAATTCTGAGGCACCCCTGTGTCCCCACAAAGCCCCTGACTCGGTCTCTGTTCTCTCAGAGCGCCCCACCTGGCCTCAGAAGCCTCGCCGCTCTCTGGCGCTGGACCAGCCTGAAAATGTGGCCACTGAGCATCCAGGTCAGAAGGAAGAAAATGGGGAAAGTGCCACCTACCCAAGAGACCTCAGCCCTGGCACCCACCCCACAACTGCACTGTCCCTGTCGGAAGGTGATGGAGGAGGGGCCCAGCTGGTGTTCCTGGACGTGGCTCAGAACGTGGTGGCCTACGACATCCCAAGTTGGTGCCTTTCCTCAGCAGGGACTTTCTGTTCTATGTGCATGGTTCCGTGTCGGTCCCGTCGTGTGTGTACACGCCCGTGTGCATGTGTGTGCTCTTTCACAGTCCCAGCAACAAGGCATGCAGCACCGAATGGGATGACTCCACCTCTCTCGCCATGGGGCATTCACCCATAGCTTTCCTTTCTTGTGTAGGGCTCTGTAAGGGAGACACGGTCAGGTCATCCTTGAGTGTAAGCTTCAGGCCTCACTCTGGGGCTGGAGGAACGCATGCCTCCTGGGCTTCTCTGAGGAAGCCGGACAGAGTGGAGAAGGGGTGGAAACACCTAAAAAGGATGGGAGAGCAGACAGGAGTGTGGCCTTGGCCTTGCACTAGCTCTGAGTGCCGAGTGCCCAGCTCTCCATCATGCTCCTGTTGTTCATGTCCCTTCTGTAGGCCATAGCACGGTAGTGACCAAGTTCTCAGTGCAGTGATGGACTCCCCGTGTTTCCCAGGCCACCCAGACTGGGCGCTAGAATGCCCTGGTCTCAGGGGGAGCGTCCCTTCCTGCTGGCTATATGACGTGGGCTCCACCTGCCACTCACATAGCAGTGACGGAGTAACTATTGGCCCAATGCGTTGTACTTCAGGAAAGACCTGCAGGGGGACAGGGCCAGCGCACCTCTGTGCCACCACTGCTGTCCTGCATTTTTACTCCATGGTAAAGATAGAATCTTCAGTGCAGCTCCCGGAAGAGTGTGAGGCAGTGTGTGGTGACTCGGGCACCACAGCCTCGGGGTCTGGTTGGTATGGGAGGAGGAAGGCTGGTGGCAGAGTCTGGCTCCTATCGCTCCCTGTCTTGGGGCCCTGGAATGTGGCTCACATACAGTCATAGTCACCTTACTCTGACACCCCCCTCCAGGTGATCATGGTGCAGGGGCCCCGGATGGTGAGCCCGACACTGACGTGAAGGCTCAGAGCAGGGTTCAGAGGTCCTATCTCCTGACCAGGGCACAGCCCTGTCTAAGGTAAGGAACCCAGGGTGTGGGTGGCTGGGGATGAGGTGTCTTTGCATCCTCTGCCCTCAGAGCTGCTGCAGGCTCCCATGCAGGTCTGCGCTGTCACCCTTGCTCCCCTTGCCTCTGCCCCTCCCAGCCTGCTCTCACCCAGCAGGAGCGTCTCTATTTCAGTGTGGCTGTCCCCGCACTGCCTGCTCCAAGCTTGGGGCTCTGGGCCCTCCACTTGGAGCATCTGCCTCTCTGATTCGCCTGGGAAAGCACCCTCTCCTATGAGCCCTCTGGTCTTCTGGAACACTCCACCACGGGTCCCCTCTGTTGTCAGCGTCTGCTTGCCAGCTTGGTTTTCCTCACAAGATGTTGAGACTCCTTAAGAATAGAAGAACCCCAGCCGACTAAGTTTCTTGGGGTTGTGTAGAGTTGGCCATGTGAGCTCCACAAGTCACAGCTGAGCTCAGCCCAGGGCTCTGTCTTCCTCTGACTCCAACTCTCATAGGCAGAAGCTATTCTTGTGCACTTCCAGTGAGAGAGACAAAGAAGCTTCAGACATTGACCCCTGGCTTCCTGCGTGGACCTCAGAGGACAGCCCCAATGGTGATTACAGCTCCTCTTCTTGTAGGCTCTGAGCCCTGTGAGCCTTCCTCTCCAGAGGAGGGTTGGGGATCTGCTAAGCACAGGGATGGCAAACATACTCTGCCTATCATCACTCTGCCCTGATTGCTATACCAGACATTGCTAATCAATCCCTGTTTTCATGAGCCAGCCACTGCAGAGCCTTGTAAACACAGAAGCTGTGAGTCACGGCATTCCGTCTGCTGGCCCTGGCACACCGTAATGATGATCTTTCCTTTTTGTTGATGTATTGCCAGGCAATGTGCAATTAATGTCCTCAACCACCAGGACTCTGAATGACAGTGTCCTTTCCCCCAGTGTCTGACGTTAACCCTTGAGCTGCCGCTGCACTAGGGTTGGCCACACTCCTGAGTGTCATGATCCTTTCAGGAAGCCCACTGGCCTCAGGATCTTCCCAGATGAGTAACTGGCATGTGACCAACTACCTGAGTGAGATCTTAGGGTTCAGCTCTTCCCTCTTCAGCACCCCAAGCAAAATCCTGCCAGATCATGTCCTGGAGGACGGCAGCTACTTTTTGACTGAAGGTGGGCTGCCAAAGTGGGAGGAGCTTCATTCATTCATAAACCATGGGGACCCCTAACCACCAAGTACTTGGGCCTGAACTGGGCCTAATGGATGCCCAGAGGGCCTTGAGGGGCCCATAGTTCCTCCCGGCACCGGGGCCACTAAGTCATGTAGCGAAGGGAAGGTTCCAGAAAGCTGCCATACTCACAGCTGGTCTGTCAGTGAGACTTTGACATAAGTTAGGAAATCCCAAAGGGGAGAGAGTCAGATGTGGGAACTGGGGCTAGCCGGGGTGCTGTGAAGAGGGGGCCTATCCTGCCAGCCCTCTGCTCACAGGTCTCCTGGAGTGTTCGCCTGCTGCCTGTGAACTGGAGGGCCCCCAAGAGAAGGTAAGCTCCATCCTCCTGGCCTGACCCCCTCACTGAACGTCCCACACCTCCATCCTTCTGAGTGACCAAGTTTGTCCTCACCACGCACCTTTGAGCTTCCCACTGCCTGTGAGGGGCCTGGGGAAGGCCTGCCTAAGATTACAGCTACGTCCCAAGCAGGGTGGAGACCTTCAGTGACTTACCACTCATGGCGGAGCCACGCCCCTGAGTACATGCATGTTTAGTGTGTCTGTGTGTTTGGCACGGGGGCTATTGGATCCCAGACTGCCCTGAAAATCAATCCTCTTGCCATAGCCTTCAGAGAGCTTGGACTACAGGAGTGTACCAATTTATCTGGCCAAATAGTCTCAATTCTCTGAACATGGAGTTTACTCAGTGGGTAGTCAGGCCTCATGGTGTCTGGAGCTCATGAAGAAAAGCCCCGTTGGTGTCATCTGGTTTTGTCTTTGCCTCCAGCTCAGCCACAGGAGGGAGCAGGAGGGAGGGAGAACCAGCCAGCAGGCACTGGTGCTAAGGCCACACACGTGTCCTCCAGCTGAGACGTCTGTGTCCCTGTTCTAGTCCAAGTTCCTCGTGTGAATTGATGCCACGGGGCCCCTGGTTGGGGCCTTTGAATGAAGGCTCCTGAGTTTCCTGGGGTGTGGAGACAGACTAGGGTGTTTGACCTGTGCTGTCTGTAACCTGCACACCCTGTAGTCAGCGTCTTCCTCATCTGATTCAGGACACTCCCCCCGAGGGCCCTGCAGCCCCACAGAACTTGCAGTCCTCAGTGTCACTGGACCACTGCTACCTGCCGCAGAGACAGAACACCCAGGTGCTGTCCAGCAGCAGCTCCAGCTCTGAGTCCACAGACACGGAGTCCCTGTGGGGACAGGAGGTGAGAGGGAGGCACCCACCCAGGGAGGACAGGGGTCTTCTTCCTCGCTCAGTCTCCTGTCCGGCAGCAGGCCAACCCTGTGGGCTTACAGATCCCCAGTGACGAGGACAGAGACTACACATGGACTCCTACCTGCCAGTCTTCTGGCCTGCTGGCAGCTGGCAAAAAGACCAAGAAGGTGCAGGCAAGCCAGGGCCCTGTGAAGCCCAAGGACAACAGGAAAGCCTGCTCTGGCCAGCTGAAGAAAAAGTGTGTTAATGGCTTCATCATGTTCTGCAGGATGAACCGGAAGCAGTACATCCGGTGGGTGAGGGCACCTGGGTTTTTAAAAGTATAAAGAGGTTACCATTCCCATGTGTACCCCCAGACCATGTGACCCCTACTGCTTTGCCTTCCCGTCCTGTGCAAGACCCAAGCTCGAGCTTGAGGCACCAGAGAAAAGGAAATCCATTGCCTCTGTCACCTCCACTTGCTTCTGGGCTGAATCAGTCCTGTCCCTCTCTCCTGAGCTGGGCCACACTGGCGGCAGTTGTCCTCAGGAGGTTCAGGCTCAGTACTGCTGGACGCCCTAGAAGTTTCATCTCTAAACACCCTGGGGGTGACGTAGGCCAGGTGCCAGCCCTGGACCTACCACTGTTGGCTGAGCACCAGCAAGAAGAGACATTGCCTTCATGGAAGAGCGGTTCGTGGGTGGTGGGGAGAGCCCGTGAATGGCGGCTTTGGGGACATCTGTGTCGCTAGAGGGTGCAATGGGGCACTGGAAGAGTGGTGGGAAACCATGACCATGATGTAGTAGTCGCCGTGACCTCCTCCTTCCTGTCCCAGAGCCTGTCCCGGGACTGCATCCACAGCTGCCACCAAGGAGCTGGCTCAGCTATGGCGAGGAATGACTCTGGAGGAAAGGAGACCATACTGGTGAGAAGGATCTTCCAGAGGGCGTGGGGGGAGCCGTGGGCCCCAACCTGTGACCCCATCCTCACTTAGAGCCTCGTGACTTTCCTAACAGGCTGAGGACTGGTGAGACAAATTCCTTCTCTTTGTGCATGTGGTGCATGCGCATGCGTGTGCGGTATGTGTGCACACGCGAGTGCATGCAGAGGCCAGAACAGGACGTCAGATGCCCCTCTCGCTTCTTGCCTTCTTGCCTTGAGGCAGGGCCTCCCCGGATGGGGACTGACCTTTCCAGCAAGCACTTGGGATCTGCCTGTCAATGCGCTCACCCTGGCACACACGGCCAGCTTCAGCTCTTTTTTTTTTTTTTTTTTTTTTTTTGGTTTTCCGAGACAGGGTTTCTCTGTATTGTTTTGGAGGCTGTCTTGGAACTCCCTCTGTAGACCAGGCTGGCCTCGAACTCACAGAGATCCGCCTGCCTCTGCCTCCCGAGGGCTGGGATTAAAGGCGTGCGCCACTATCGCCAGGCTCAAGTTCAGCTCTTTATGAACTCTGGTGACTCAAACTCATGGCCCAGAGCAAGTGCTTATTCACTGAGTGTCTCCGGCCTCGGGGTCACTCGGGGTCACAAGTTTTATGACCTGCAAGTTGACCTGCAGGGTGACAGAGTATCACCTGCAGCGGGAAGGTCTTGGACCTGCTGCCTCCATTTCTGCTCTGCCCCATAGAGCATGTCACTTGGCAGCTTCCCTCTCTTCCCCAGTTCTGTCCCTTCCACCAACTTCAGGGTCCCCCTGGCCCATTTCCAGACTGGCCGACCCTCCGTCTGTGACGCGCACCCCGCAGGTCCAATCCAGATATCAGAACCTGGAGCCCCCGAGAGAGACTAGTGGGGAAGCTGGGAGCCAAGTGTAAGGAAGTCCGTCCCTCTGTCCCCAGCACTAAGGCACGCAGGTTCAGTCGCCAGCACAACCGCATTGTGAAGCGGGAGAGCTCCAGCAGTGAGGAGGACGACGTGGAGACCCCCAAACCCTTCTACCAGCTGCTGGCTGAGAAGGCCCAAGTATGTTTGGGCCTGGCTTCACTGCCCGGCCCTCACTGCCAGTGAGAGGGGCAGCCCCAGGCCCCCCTGGGCCTCAGCAGCCACCCCGAAAGGTCCCCCGCCCCGCCCTCAGCCCCAGAGAGGAAGTATATCTACTGAGCTTGCCGCGAGGAGCCCTTCCCACCTGTTCTTACAGGGTGGGTGTCCCAGATGGGATGCAGAGCTCCCAGAATCCTGTTTCAACCCAGTTTGCTCTCTCTGCATCCTTCCCTGCTGTCTTAAAATGAAGTGGACCCTTTTTACGCGAGGGGGACAGGAGTGCTGTGTCCGGGATCCCTTGGCCCTGGGTGGGCTTTCCACACATCAAACCTGGGAGCCCTTTGCTTCCGAGAGCCCACAGGCATGAATTCAACCCCTTACCTCTGAAATCCAGTCTTGGCATGCGGTGACCCATGTTCATCATTCTACCATTCAGGAGGCCGAGGCAGGAAGTGGGATTTGTAGGCCAGCCTGGGCTATAGAACCCAACCCCACCTCAAAAAGAACCCAAACAAAACGCAAGCCACAGCCTCAGGCTGGGCGTTGTCTAGTTCTCTCTCGGGCTGTGACCCTTACCCCAATGGCTCTGCTGTCTGTTAACTTGACTTTAATTGAAATGGAGGCATAACATGTCCTAGAAAAATAAAGATTTACGATACAAACTAGACGAAGGGGCCAGGATTGCCCCAAGGGACAGGGAACTCTTTGGTCTGGGGCTGGATCCTGGGGCTCTCGTCCAGGGAGGTTGGGGAAGGGCATCCATCACACTGTCCCCAGCAGGAAGGGCTCTCTGGGCCGCACTCTGGCCTGTCCTCCCCGGGGCTCAGGCAGTTCTGGGGACACTGGGCCTAAGTAGTGTTATGGTGAGGGTACTGGCTGGAAGCCAGCCGCCAGGCAAGGCCTTCCTCCGCTAGTACCGGGTAGAGGAGGGCGCCGTGCCCGTGCAGGGGGCAGGCAGGGCTGTAACAGGAAGGGGACCAGCCCTGACGGGCGGGCGGGCGGGCGGCAGCTGATCCGGGTCAGGGTCGCTCTGTGGACCTCAGACAGCACCACTGCACTGGGCTGCGCCTTCCGCCCTAGCACCTTGAGCACCATGGTCAGGGGACGCGGTGGGTCCAGGCGGTCACAGTTCCAAGGGCTCCTCCACAGGCACTGACTGCAGCTGCGTCAGGACCTTGGCCTCAGCCTCCAGCCCCTCATCAACCTCGGTCCCCGCTGTGGCCCCCAGGAGCAGCCCCTGGGGGTCAGGGTCCGGCAGTCTCAGCACGGTGTGGGCGGCCTGCGTGCCCAGCCCCTCTACCCCAGTGCTCAGTTCCAGCCCCGCTGGCCACACTGGCACAGCCGCAGGCGACAGCATCAGACCCTCAGGCGCGGGCGCCGGGAAGCCGGGCAGTAGGCCGGGGGAGTCCGCGGAGAAAGGCAGGCTGGTGGCGGAGGTGACAGCAGGAGCGGCTGGCAGGGGCTGAGCAGGGAGCGGCCCCAGAGAGTGACCCTCCGGGAGGGCGGGGCTGGGGGTCACTGGGAGGCCTCCTTCGGGCACCGGGATGGCCGGCTCTGGCTTCAGGGGCAGGGCGAGGCTGGGGGCGGGCGGCAGGACCTGGGAGACGAGCATGCTGGTGGGGAAGGTGGCGGTGAGGATGATCTTGCCCTGCTGCACAGCCACCCCTGTGACTATGGGGCTGCCGGACACAGGGTTGGCCAGGAGGAAGTTCCCTGTGGAGAGAAGACCGAGGGCGAGATGCCGGGGGCCAGGCAGAGGTGCCACAGGAGTGCGGGGCAGCCACCCGCCCCAGCCCAGCAGCCCGAGTGGAGCGGGTACCTGGGGCGGCGGCCGGCGGAAGCTGCAGTGCGGTCACTCCCACACCCGAGTTTATCAGGTGCACGTTGGCAGACCCCGCCGCAGCGGCCACCTTCACGGGGCTGCCGGGCGCGGCCGCCAGCAGCTGCAGCGGCCCCACGGCCTGCGGCAGCGTCACCACCTGCGAGGTGGGCACCACCTGGGGCAGGCTCAGCAGGGCCGAGGTGGGGCTCAGGCCCGCGGGGTACCCAGCAGACGGGGACACTGGCACCACCTGAGGGGCGGCCGCGGAGGGCACAGCTCCCGGGGGCAGAGAGAAGGTGGGGGCGGGCGGGGGGCCCGGGACTACCTGGGGCAGGGCCCCCGGGACTTCCTCCCCGGTGGCCCCGGGAACAGCCCCCTGAGCCCCCTTGGTCTCGGGAGCCTCGGGCGGAGTCTCCTCCAGCCGAACCTCTCCGGTCTGAGGGTCCAGGACCAGGGAAGCCCGGGCGTCGCTGGCTCCCTGGGCGCTGGGCTGCGGTGCAGGCGCGCCGCCGCCCCCTGTGAGCAGCAGGGGCCCCAGGCTGGAGGCGTCCCCGAGGGCCAGGCTGTTGATGATGACTGGGCCGCCGTTGAGGAGCACGGCCGGGGGGCTGCCGGCGGCCAGGAAGCTCCCGTTCACTAGGATGGACGAGGAGGCGGCGCACGTCGAGGGAGGGGTGGCCCCCGCGAGGAAGACGGGGCTCTGGGTGGGGGCCTCGGCCGCCGCGGGGGCCACGCCCCTCTCCAGGTCCTCCGGGCTTCGGCTGGACTCGTCTTCAGTAGCGGGGTTCCCTTCGGACTCGCTGGCGGGGAAAGGGCCGAGTCTCAGGGCTCAAGACTGCCCCGCCGCAGCGGCACAGGCGACCCGGGCTCCGCTCCACTGTCTGAGCGCTGGAGAATCCCGCACGGACCCCAGAACCTCCGCAGCACGGCGGGGAGGCTAACCGAAGGGACGCTTCCCGTCGCCTCGGCCTGCAGCCGAGCACCCAGGCTGCCCCGAGTCCCCGGGGTCAGCAGGCGCGTGGCCGCAGTGAGGCGGCAGCCTTTACTCCAGTTCTTCCCCCCTTCCCGCCCCCGGGGCGTCGGGGACCAGCGCTGGAGGCCAGGCGCTGGGGTGGGAGGGGAAGGGTTAGGGTTACAAGGGAAACCGGAGCCGGGGAAGGTTCACGTTTCACAACAAAGACAGCCAACACACCACGCTGTTTGGGCCGGAGGAGGCGTGGGGGTGGGCGTAAGCGACGGCCACCGGGGGCCAGGCCGCACGGGTCCCCACCCTGGGGGCCTTAGACAAAGCCGCTGCCCCTCCAAGGCCACCCCCCTTTGTCACTGCCCCCCCAATCCGGGCACAGCGGCCAGAACCTCTGCCCGTGGGGCAGCGGTGCCCACAGGACCCGGGGCGTGCCGGGTCTCCGCGCTCAGCCCGTGCGCTCGCCAACGCCGGGGGCACACAGGGTCAGGCGCGCAGACTCCAGCGGGCACCGAGGCGGAGGGAGGGAGGGCCGGTCCCCTCACCTTTTTGCAGGGCGCTCCGCCGCCGGTGCCAGTCCGGTCGCGCTGTCGCCGGTTCTTGAACCAGTTGCTGACCTGCGTGAGCGAGAGGCCGGTGAGCGTGGCCAGGCGGCGCTTCTCGTCGGGCGTGGGATAGCGGTTGCCGCGGTAGCAGGCCTTGAGCGCCGCGCGCGAGCGCTCCTTGAAGCAGTAGACGGTCTCCTCGCCGTCCCAGATGGTCTTGGGCAGGGGGAACTTCTTGCGCAGCCGGTATTTGTCCACGGCGCCCAGCGCGCGGCCGCGGGCCCTCTCGGCCTCGTGGTAGCGCGCACGCAGGTAGAGGTCCTGCAGGAAGGCGTGGTGGGCGGCGGGGAAAGGGCGGCTCTCGAGGAGCCGGTAGAGCTCGGCGTAGTCGCCGCGCTGGAAGGCCACCAGGGCCCTCGCGCGCAGCACCGGATCGCTGCCACGTAGGCGCTCGGCCGGGGGCAGAGCGCCCAGGAAGCGGCTCAAGCGGCCGGCGTGGCCGGCTTGCAGCAGCGCCTCGCACACGCACGCCACCTGCTCGGGCGAGAAGCGCAGGCCCGTGGGCGCCTCGGCCGCGGGCTCGGGGGGAGACCCCGGGCCGCCCGGGGACCCTGATTCCGCCGCCGCCGCCTCCCCCGCCCCGGCCGCCGCCGCCGCCGCCTCCCCCTCGGCCGCCTGCAGAGTCTGCAGCAGCCGGCGCGCTTCCTCCTCCTCCTCCTCGGTCGCCGCCGCAGCCTCCCCCCCAGCCGCCGGCCCCGCGCTCGGCTCGGCAGGCGAGGTAGCCATGTTTGGCAACTTTGGGAAGTTCCTCCCTCCTCGGCCGCCTCCCGCGGGCTTCCCCAGCCCCCCTCCCCCGCCCAGCCCCCCTCGCTCCCCCGCGTCCCCCTCGCGGTCTTCTGGCCCCCTCCCGGCGCAAAGGCTCGACTCAGCTCCGCGCTCGGGTCTGTCCCCGGGTCTGTGTGTCCGCCCCCCTCCCCGGCTGTCGGGAGGCTTTGTTTTGCCCTCCGCCTCTGGCCGCGCTCTCGGCCTCCCCCCTGCGTGTGCCTCGGGCTCAGGGCCTCAGTTTCCCCATCGGGGCAACGGAGAAGGGAGTGGGCCGTCCCGGCAGGTTAAGGGCGCGAAGCCGTTTCGATCTCCCGGGTCCCTTCACGGCCCCCCCCTCCTTCCCCATCCCCGCGCCGCGCTCCGCCCCTCGGAATTCCCGGCCCCGCGGGGAGGGGGTGGGTCTGGCAGGGAGGAGGGCGGGGGAGACGCGCTAGAAAGTTTGCGGCAACTTTGCCGAAGCCTCGGCCCGGGCAGCGGATGCGCGTGGCTCGCGCAGGCGTGGTGGGAGGACGGCAGCGGGCGCCCCGCCGGCCCAGCCCCCTGCTCTTCCAAGCTGGAGCAGCACAGCTGGGTCACAGCTGGGCGGGGGCTGGCGGCGCCCGTGGCCGGCTGCTACGCTCCTACTGGCTGGCGGCCTACGCCCCGCCCTTCCTCCCGATTCGTCCGCTCGGCCGCCTCTCGCTCCCGGCCAGGCCATTGGTCGTGTCCCCTGGGCTCTCGGTTGACCTAGCGGGGCTTCCTCCCCACCACAGAGACTCGGAGCAGCTTCGGGCAGACCGGAAAGTACTTTATTCGCCAGGCTCGGGGGTGGGGACAAAATAAATACCGAGGAATGTCGAGTCTCAGTGCATCCAAAACGTGGGTCCCGGAGTCTGCCAGTGAGCCGGAGGACAAGGTCAATAAATACCCACACTGCTTTGGGGGACGTGTGCGTGCAGCCGTGACTCCGACGGCGGCGCTTGTGAGGAAGGGGTCGTAGCAACCCCTAGAGGCGGAGCTGCCCGAAGCCGAAGGCTCCCGAGGGAGCTGGCCGAGGTCGTGCTGATCGTCTGCTGTGGGAACGGGACGTCCCCGAGGTCAGGGGCTGGTGCGCAAGCGTTTACGGTTTGTGACCAGTGGCTGGAGGCGGGAAGCGTGACATCGGACGGCCTGAGCAGTTTGCCTATCCACGTCGGGGCTGAGCGAAGAAGAGTGGTCGGCGAATGTCCCCGCGTCGAAGCCGCCAGCCCTGCAGGAACCGGGTTCCTGCGCACGGGTCCTGCTCCTCCCTCCCCGGCCGCCAGGGGGCGGGCCCGGATCACGGGAGAGGAGCCGGGTGGGGACCCAAGCTCGCAGAGGCGTGGAGGGGGTGGCTGGAGGGGAGATTTGGGCGCAGAGACGCTCTGGGCCGGTCCCAAGTCAGCCGGCTGTCCGCGGGCGTCTAGATGAAAGGTGGCTGGAGTCTCAGGGCTCAGGGGGCGAAGGTGGCTCCCGGGAAACACCAGACTGGGACACAGGCCACCAGCCCAGTGCAGCCCAGTGTGGCGGCAGCAGCCAGAGCAGCGGCGAACAGGAGCAGGCAACGCGCCTCGGATAGGCCAGGCCTAAGGACCTGCAGGCAAGAGGGCGAGCTCAGCGTCGGGCTGCAGGGGGCCGCCCAGCCTGGGCCCGGAGATGGGCCGAGGATCCATTGGCCACCTCGTGGCGGCCAGTGTCGACTGGCCGCCCGGTCACCCCCCCTCCCTGCGGTGCGCCGAGCTCCGCAGAGGCTCAGCGAAGCGGTGGTGACACTCGGTGGGCGGAGCGAGGCGGAAGCCCGGGAGTGACAGTGCCGGGAGGGCTGGGGACATACCCTGGCAGGGAGCAGCAGGTGACGGCGGTGCATGGGGCCTGGCCCCACCAGCGGGCACTGGCCCAGAGCCACGGCCGGGGGGCCATCTAGCTGGAGAGAGAAGGGATAGGTGACCCGATCGGAGCCCAGCTCGGCCCCGCCGCCCTCAGCAGCAGGGCAAGAGGCAGTACGGGGAGTCAGGGCCAGAACGGGAATCTACAAGTTCCTCTGGGGAGGATGCGGCCAAGGGCCTGAGTGCGGCATTACTGGTGGACAGCCTCAGGCTGAGAGAAGGGCGTCCTCCTCCTGGAGCCCACAAGGAGGGCGAGCCCTACCCGTGGCCGGGGACATGGGCTGTGGGTAGCAGATCTGAGTGGGCATGGGGAAGACAGGGGTCTTACATGGGAAGGTGGATCCGTGGCCCAGGGACCGGGGACCCCCATGACAGCTGCAAGGAGAAGAGAGGTGGATGGCGCGTGGAGGGCGGAGGCGGGCGGTGGCTCGGCGTGCCCCAGCCTGGGCCCCTCCCCTGTCCCAAGTGTCCACACCCCCGGCACAGCCCCATCTTCACCCAGTGCCCTCCTGGCCTGGGCCGGGTGAGGGACTCGCCTGGGGCTCCCGGAGCCTGCAGCATCTCCATCCGCTCCTGCAGCTGACGGACGTGAGCCTCCAGGTCCCGGTTCCGGACCTCGGCCTCCTGCAGTTGGCTGCAGGAAGACAACAAGGTGAGCCAGCCCGCAGGCCGAGGGACTGAGCTCGCTGCCACCCCGCACCGACCCCGACCTGGAGAAGCTCTGGTTGGCAGTGCGGATGGCCTCCAGCTCGCGGCTCAGGCTCTGCCGGGTGAGAACCTCCTCCTCCAGGGCTTCCTGGAGCTCCCGCAGCGTCACCACGGTCTCTGCCTCAGCTGCGGGGACAGCAGCTGGCTCCGCCACTTGGGCCTGTAGTGGGGATGGAGTTCGGGACCACCACTGGGCCCTGTCCCACACACCCTTCCCCTGGCCTCGGCTCTGGTACCCCAGCAGCTTCTGGGACAGGCAGCACAGGAACTGAGCGGCTGGCATCGGAACTCGAGTGTGTCCCCCCAGATTCCACAGTGCTTCAGGCTAACCTGTGGCTTTACCCACAGCCGCCCCTCCTCCTTCCAAGTACCCACCCAACCCGTAGCTTTTTAAGGAACCAGCACCCCAGCTGATGGGCTCTGACCTTGCTCTCCAACTGACAAGGACCCCCAACTCAGCCTCCTCGGGGTGGTCAGCAGCTGACTGGTGTTGCTTTTGGACCCCACGCCCATGCCAGGAGAGCATCTACCTCCCCTCCAAGCTGTGTTCCCTACTTCTCTTTGGTATCTTTTGCTGGCACACAGGGTCTCATTTCGTAAGCCAAGCAAGCCTTGCCTCTGGGCTCCTTCTGCCTGTTGTTCATGAGTAGCCAGGACCGCAGGACATGCTGCTGGGTCTCACCCAAGCAGCAGCCTAGCCCTGTAGGGCAATGTCCTGCAAAGCGCTGGCCTTGGCATGGCAGGTGCACCCCCCCAGCAGGCTCTGGTCGGTCCCCTCCTCTGCCCACTCACCACTGGATCCGGGGGCGACACTGGAGGCTCCAAGCTAAGCACTTGCAAGTCTGCCTCGGGCAACTGCAGGGCCTCCAGTTCCATAGGGGTGGGGTCCGGGACCTCAGTGTCTCTGAGAAGAGGAAGAGGCTACCATCAGGCATCTGGGGCTCAAGGAGGAGCAGAGTGGAGAGAGCAGACTGTCGACAGCCCCTCTCGTGCCTAGCAAAGCCCCGCTGCCAGGGCTGTTACCGGCTGGCTCTCCAGAGGGAGGGCTGTACCCCATCCTGTCCTAACTAGCAGGGGATGTGCGTCCTGACGTTTAACTTTCTGGTCTGGGACATGCCTGGCGGTGAGCACCTGTGCAAGCTTCCTCTAAGCGTTCCCTGCTTCCCAGGTAACTTGGGCAATGGAGGTTCAGCCGAGGACCTCACACATGATAGTCAGTTCCCTCAGTTGTTGACAGGCTTTCTCTGCATAGCCCTGGCCGTCCCGGAACTTACTCTGTAGACCAGGCTAGCCTTGAACTCAGAGACTGCCCGGCTCTGCCTCCCCGAGTATTGGGATTAAAGGCGTGCGACATGCCAGGTTAGGATTTTTTTTTAAGGTTTATTATTGTCTTTAGTACTTTAAATCCTTGTCTTTCCTTTGAGACAAGAATTCATGTAGGCTGGCCTGGAACTTGCTATAGCTAATGACGACTGTGCATTTTTGATCTTCCTGTCATCAGGTCCCCGGTGCTGGGATGACAGGTGTGAGTCACCATGTATACATCACACAGTGCTGAGGCCAAGCAGAGCCCAGAACCCTCTGCGTGCCAGCAAGGGCTCTACGGACTGAGCGCAGCCCCAGCACTAAGGCCACACTCGCAGCCCAGGAAGCACTGACTTATTTTCTTCTTCTCTTTGAAGCACTGTCTTATTTCTTCTCTTTCTTCTTCTTCTTTTTTTTTTTTTTGAGACCAAGGTCTTACTGTGTACCCCAGGCAGGCCTTGAACTTGTGACCCTCCTGTCTCCACTCCCCCAGTACTGGGGCTGCAGGTGTGTCCCACACTTGCCTGACCAATAAGGAATTTAATTATTTTTGGTGTTCTGAGGCAAGTTCTCACTCTGTAGCCTGGGCTGGCCTCCTTATGGTGGGGTTACAGGGTAGCCATCCTGCCTAGCAATAGTGGATGCTGTCTCTCTTCTGTTTCTTGAGACAGAGTATCTTGTAGCTCAGGTTGGTCTTAGACTCACTGTATAGCCCAGGATGGTCTTGAACTTCTGATTCTCCTGCCTCTACCCTCTAAGAGCTGGGATTACAGGTTTGTGCCACCACACCCAGCATAATGGATACTTTCAAAAGGCTTTACTGACGGGGCATGGTGGTACAAGCCCATAATCACAGCACTCTAAGGCTGTGAAAGCGATCCTGCCTCAGAAAACAAGACAAAAAACTTTTACAAAACTAAAAGTTGTTTTATTGTTAATGTGCTCCAATGAGTTCATGTTCTTAAAATAAGCTGTCAGATTCCGGGCCTGTTTCCTAAGAGCCTGGGTCCTATGACATGTCCTAGAATGAAAGTCAAGAGCTGGGAGAGTCTGGTAGGCTGAGTGTAAGATTCTTGGGTTATACAACTACATAAGAGAAAGACCCAGTCTCAAAAAAGCCAAACAAACCAAGGAAAGTGCGTGTGCATTCCTGTGCAGGCTAGTCCTGTCAGCCCCATACAAGCTGGAGTTAACAAAGAGAACACCCCCAAGCCTGGAGATGCTGGCGCACACCTTTAATCCCAGCACTGGGGGGGGGCAGGGACGGTCAGATCTGTCAGTGAGGCCAGCCTGGTCTACAGAGTGAGTTCCAGGGCAGCCAGGGCTATGCAGAGAAACCCTGTCTCAACAAAACAAAGCCAAACCCAACAAACTGAAAGCACTAAGCTTCAGACAAGCCTATAGAGCATTTTTAAATTAGTGTTTGATGGGAGGCCGAGCCCATTGTTGGTGGAGCTGTCACTGGGCTGAGTGAGTCGTGAGGAGCAGGCCGGTCAGCATCCCTCCATGGCCGCTGCATCAGCTCCCGCCTCCAGGTTCCTGCCCTGTTTCAGTTCCTGCCCTGATGTCCGTCAGTGATGGACTATGAATGATATGGACGTGCGAGCCAAATAAACCCTTTCCTCCCCAACCGGCTCATGGCGTTTCATCACAGCAACAGAAACCGTAACTGAGGCAGTTCCTAGGAGGCCCTGGCACCAAGAATAACCCTTTGAGGTGCTGGCTGAGGTGGCCTGCATACACACAGCAGCCAGTGGGCACTCACGCCTACCTGAGGGCCACACAGGAGTAGGAGTAACCCACGAAAGGCAGGTGGACCCCAAGTGGCATGTCTTTCTGCATGTCCGACAGGGTCTCCTACGGAAGAGATGCGGGCGTGGTCAGCAGTTTTCAGGGATGATCACAGTGTAACTGTCCCCACTAAGCCAACCCACGAGCTACGGTGTCCCCTCCCTCACTTTCTCTTGTATCCTGTTGCTTCTGGTTGGGACTCTGCCCACACATTTTCTGTACTGCATTGGGCCAAGGCAGGACCCAGTGCTCGTTAAAGAGAGCCCTGGCCTGAGAGAGGAGCTCCTGCCTCGCCCTGCACCCTTCCGGCCTCAGCTCAGTCTCCTCCAAGAACGCTCCGGCACCTTCCAGGGGCTCGGTCTCTTTGAGCCGTGCCGACAGTGAGACCGGTCCTTGAGAACTGTCACCGTGTCCTCAAGCCTGAGTGGGCACATAGCAGCGCTCTAGGATAATACTTTTGGATCCAAGGTCATCACTCCATTTTTTTTTTCCATTTTTCTTTCTGTTTTAAATGGTTTTTTAAGACAGGGTTCTGTGTAGCCCTGACTGGCCTGGAACTCACTGTGTAGACCAGGTTGGCCTTTACCCACCCGAGTCCACCTGCCTCTGCAGCCCCGGGACTGGATGTGTACCATCGCACGTAGCCAATCACCCCAGTTTTTATGGGCGGGGCGGGGTCCCCTCAGCCGCTCAGGAGCCGCAGGTACGTACCCCGCCCCCGCTCACCATGGCAGTGAGCCGGTCTTCCACCACATCGAAGTTGCACGTGTCCGTGGCCCCCTCGAAGTCTGGTGCAAAGGGGGGTACACTGTCTCGCAGGCCCTCCCAATCGAGGCCACAGAAGAACGGATGCTTCCGGAAATCGCCTGCCCCGCCTCGGCCCAGCCGTATCTCAGCGGGGCACAGCAGTCCCCGAATGAGATCCTGAGCTTCCTCAGGGACGCCGGCGGCTGCTAGGGGCAGAGACAAGTGCTCCTGCTCAGAAAGCAGAGAAAAGCAAGCGTCAGCTCTGGGCTGGGAGCTGGCTCAGCGGTTAAGAGCACTGGCTGCTCCTGCAGAGGACCCGGGTTCAATTCCCAGCACCCACGCGGCGGCTCACAAGAGTGTGTGTCCCCATTTCCAGGGGGTGGCATGCCCTCTGACTTTCATGGGCACACATACATGCAGCTAAAACACGTATACACACGTATAAAATACCTTCAAAAGAAAAGGCCAGCCTGGGAGCATGTGCCACCAAACCAGGCACCTTGCGCGGCTGCGCCTATGCTCACCTTGTAATGCACAATCTTGGCGTACGTCTCGGCTGTGGAGTCAGCGTAGAAGGGAGTCTGCCCGTAGAACATCTCATAGGCGAACACGCCCAGCGCCCACCAGTCACACTCGGGCCCGTAGCTGCCTGCCCCTCCGCCCACAGCCTGCAGAATCTCAGGAGACAGGTAGTCCGGGGTGCCCACAGCCACCAGCGACCTCACCTGTGCAACCAGACCTGGATGCTTAGGCCCTGCCCCTGACTGCCCAACCTGGAGCTCAGGACATCCCCGGCCAAGCTCCTCTCTAGCACGGCATCCAGCCTGCCCGACCCACGCTCCGTTCCCCGCCCCGCCCCGCCCCCTCCTGCACCGTCCGCCCCTGCACCGTCCGCCCCCTGAGCGGTGGGGGAGTTTCGCCAGGCCCTTCCCACCCACCGTACCATCCCATCCGGCTGTAGCTTGAGGCAGGAGCCGAAGTCCGCCAGGCGGATGTGCCCACAGCGGTCCAGCAGGATGTTGTCTGGCTTGATGTCCCTGTACACGGAGAAGAGGGAGGGTGCTTGAAAGACTGACCTCCCGGGTCCCACCGGGCTCGGTGCCGTTCCAGCCCCGCAGGGACCCCACTCCTGCCCCCAGCGGGGTCCAAACTCAAGGCACCCTCCCTTCCCGCACAGACTCTGCCACCCCTTCCGGGGCCCCGCCACGCCCACCTGTGCACGTAGCCCAGCCGGTGCACCGAGTCTATGGCCATGACAATCTCGGCCAGGTAGAAGCGCGCCATCTCGGCGGGGATCCGCTCCCCAAACTTGCTCAGCAGCGTTAGCAGGTCCCCGCCCACGTAGTATTCCATGACCAGGTACTGGGGGCGGGCGCGTCACAGGGGGTCGGTAGCCCCCGAGGCTCCCGAAGACACCCCGTCCCCAAGCACAGAGCCCTCCAGTGTGGGAGAGCGCCCCAGAGACAAGGCCAAACCGACAGCACCTCTGTTCCCAAGGCCGGTTCCGCCTCTGCCTGCCACACGGTGTCGCCCGCCCGCCCCCCAGGCTGCACCTCCCTGCTCGGGCTTCCTAGACTCGAGGGGGTGTGTCTGTCACTCCTTCCTGTCACCCCGCCCCGGGCTCACCAGGTAGTTCTCATCCTGGAAGGCGAAGTGCAGCTGCGTGACCCAGCGCCGGTCCCCTTTCACCAAGACGTCCCTTTCTTCCCGGAAGCACGACACCTGAGAGGGGGGACGGCTGCAGAGCTGAGCGGCTGCAGAGCTGAGCTGCGGGGGTGACGGCCCCGCCCCGGCCCCGCCCCCGCCCCGCACCTCGCCTCTCTTCAGCATGTCCCACTTATTCATGATCTTCATGGCATACACCTGGCCCGTCTGCTTCATCTTCACCACCGCTACCTGAAGGCGGAAGCGGGTTCACGGGGAAACCCGCCAGGCTCACCCGGACGGGGCTCCACCCAGCCTTAGCCACACCCCCTGCTCACACAGCACCCGCTGACCCCCCCAAGCCCCGCCCCCGCCTGGGGTTGAAGCTCATTCATCAATTTTAAGGCTCCGCCCCGGCTGCTATGCCCCTCCCACCCCAAGCAGAGCTGCACTGAGACTCACCTCACTGAATGCCCCGCGGCCAATCACCTTCAGAATCTCAAAGTCGTCCCTCCGCAGCCGGACCTCCTTAAGCCGTGCTGCAATGGGCTCCACTGGGGAGCGAGCGGGGACCAAAGGTTACCACAGCGCTCGAGCCAGGGTGGCCCCTCAGCCTCCCCTATGCCCTCAGCCTGATTTTAGCATCCTGCTTCCAAAGCCTCTGGATGGCTGGGGACCCAGAGCTGTTTCCACGGGGCTGCTCGCCCCAAAGGGAGGCAGAGGGAGGGGTGCGGTAGAAGCCGGAACCCAGTCCCTCCATCCCCACTCCATGTGAAGATCTGGGTGCTCAGTCGGGCCCCCGGGTCTCATCTAACGTCTGAGTCACGGCGTCAGTCAGCGGTGCCCAGCACGGCCAGCTGACTGCTCTTGGGGAGAACTGGGCGCGGACCCTGCGGGGGTGGGGCCCAGCCACCGGCACCCTGGACACTCCTGGGGCAAGCCTGGCCTCCAGGGGGGCAGGAGAGCCTTCCTAAGCCGCCCCAGGGCCTGAGCCCTGCCCGCGCGCGCTCGGCCGCTCCAGCAGGAGAGCGCGGCCAGGTCAGAGGCCGGGGGCAGAGCAGAGCGCGGCCAGGCTCCCTTGGGTGACGGTCAGGAGAGGGAGTGAGGAGGGGAGGACAGGGCCGGTGGGACCTGGAGGAGACAGAATGGGCCGCCCGAGAGGAGAAGACACAGCCAGGGCCAAGGCTGGGGGGTTGGGAGGAGAGCGTCAAAGCATTGAGCCCTTTTAAGGCAGCGGGAACCCAGGCCCCCTCCCCCGCCCAGGCCTGGCGGGGGAGGGGCCCCGGGATGCTGCTCAGGCCACAAAAGGACTGCTCCTTCCCAGAGGAACAGACCCCCACCCCCACCCCAGCTCTCAGTTTACCCTGCCAGCCCAGCCCTGTCCTCTGCAAAGGGAAGGTTGAAGGAGCCACTGAGGGCTGCAGAGGAGAAAGGTCCCCCACAAACTGAAAGGCCTAGCCCATGGCCTCCACCTTTCCATCTGTGAAATGGGGAGAAAGGGGAGGGTGACCTGGGCACAGAGACCAAGGACCAGGACCAGGACCCTTAATGACAGGCACAGAGCAACCAAAGTGTTATTTCTAGGGAAGTTGGGGCCAGGGGCAGATGAGGTCCAGGCCCACCCACTAGGCCTCAGAAGACCTCTGCAGAAGGGCATTTAACTCAGCAGGGGAGCGAGAGGCCTTGAGCTAGAACCGCGAAAGCAGGAGAGACGCCAAACGGGATCCCTAAATCTGGGCCACACGGTCTAGGAGGGACCACGATAGCAGGGATGGGCTGGAGTTGTTCCTCTTTAACTTGGGGGACAGAGGGGAGCTGGGTGGCGCCTGTCTGCCCGGCTGGCTCTCCCCCAGGGCCTCTGGGAGTCCCGGTGCCCTCCTAGCCCGTGGACACCTGTCAGGGCAGCTGGGAGCCAGACCCAACACCTGCCTACAGGCCGCACCCTAGCAGCTGCCCCACGTGCCCCTGCCCGCTCTGGGGAGCCAGGGAGGGCCGCAGAGCTCACTTGGGGGGGGAGGGTCCTTAGGGAACCCGCCAGGCCCCTATGTGGGTGCTGCGCCCACCCCGGCCTGCACACCCTGAGTCATGGCTGGCCTCCACCGACCCCAGTCTGCCCCACCAGGAGAACCTGGCGTCAAGGCCTCACCTCTGCCCGGGTCCCCACAGGAAGACCTCTCCAGGCCCCCCTGCCCCGAAGAGCCACCGCTGCCTTCCTCCACCCCAGGCCTCCTGCCCATACTCACCCCACTGCAAGAAGTCGGCCACATACTTGTCTTGGGCTAGGTGGGAGGCGCCCAGCTCCTGGTGGACGCCCAGGAGAAGGTCGAGCAGGGGCTCCAGCCCCAGGAAGCTGGGGTCCAGCGCCAGCTGCTGCAGCTGCCTCAGCCGCACCTCGGCTGACATGCTGGGCAGGCAGCACCATGGCCCCTCCCCGGGCCGCAGCTCGGGGTCTTCCCGTCACGGGGCCTGGCCGCCCCTGTCCAGGCCCCAGAACCCTGGCTGCATGTCCGCCTGTCCCTGACTATCCCTTGGGTCCCTCTGGCCAGTTCTAAGGCTGAGGCCTCCTCCTCTTTTCCCCACCCCTTGGCCCAGCCCCCCCTCCCGCCTCCCAGCTTTAACCCCTCCTGAGCCAACACCCCAACTCTCTGCTTCCAGGGCCCCCAAACTCTTCCGTGCCCAGTGTCAAGGGGCTGAGTAGCGCTGCAGAGACACCCGACGCCCCCACCCATGAGAGGGTGGGCACGGGAGTCGGGTGAGGTCGGTGCTCGGGTGAGCCTGTCTCGGCTCAGAGCTGGGAAGGGTGGGAAGGGACAGAGGCCAGGGGCAGCTTCTTCGTGACTCAGCAGTGGATTCCGACTTTGGGACAGTTAAATTTAGTCCCCATGCCTGCTGAATTACACGCCCCCCCTTTTTTGGCAGGAGGTGGGAGATCAGGAGGGATTTATCCAGCCACCAGGGCCAGGGGTGACCTGCTGGCCCGGCCTGGGGGGAGGCAAGCGGTGGAGCTAGGCCCTCCCCCAGTGAGAGAGACCCCGAAATAGCTTCTTGGCCACAGGCCGGGGCAGCCACATTCCTGCCTGGGCTAGGATTAGAGACAGAAACATTTTGGGGGTTGGGGGCGGAGCCATGTTAGCATCTTTCTAGGGTGGCCAGTTCTCTGGGGAGGAGACCAGGGCCTCCAGCCGGCACTGCATGGGTCAGGAGAGGCACGGCTCAGCTCCCAGCAGCCCCCTCCTCCCAGAAGAGCGCGGCTGGGTAGTCCCGATGCTCTAAAACAGTTCAACCCCCCACCCCAAGGACCTAGCAGGAAGGGGCCACCTCAGGCTCTTGACTCTGAGGGTCCAGGGGGCTCTACTCAGGGCTGGGGGTGGGTGCAGGGATTGACTGGCCTTCCTATGGAGAGAACACAGCCCCCCCCACACACACGCCCCAGGGAACAGAGACGCTGTGCAAACAAGGACTTTAGTATAAATAAGAGGTTCAGGGGGACAAGGAGGCCCTGGGTCTCCATAATTTAACACTCTTCAAAAGCACAGACCATAGCAAGGGGTGGGGTGTGGGCTGGGAGGGAGGGGGTACCCCCTGCTGGTCCCTCTCACCCAGGGGCACTGTGGAGCTGGGCTGTTGTGGGCGGAGTCTCCCAGGAGTGACCAGTCACATGCTGGGACAGGGATGTGGGTTAACACTGATATTCCGGAGGACAGGTCGCTGCACTTGGCAGTGGGTGGAGGCCAGGGCTGAGGCCACACGGGCCACCACATCCCCATGGCTGGGCCAGTCTGTGCAGGGCGGGGCCGGAGCAACCCTTCCTCGTTAGTCTTGTTACTAGTGATCCTTGAGGTCTGCAGGGAGGGCTGCGTCTAGGAGGCTGGGGGCAGGGGCCATCTCGGCTTCACACCACAGTGCCACTGGGGGAGTTGCCTGGCTGGGAGGGGGCACCCTGAGGAGGATGAGAGGGAGGCTGGATTAGACAAGGCCTGGGCTTCTGCCAGGGCTGGGGTTGGGAGGGGGCCCCCAGTCCTAAAGCTGCTGTCCTGGCTAGGAACAAACAGCTCAGCAGCCTTCCCTGCCCCAGGGTGGCACTCCCACAGCAACTAATGGCCCTGGCGATCCTGGGCAGACAGATGGGGACGGCTGAGGGGAAGGAGAACCGGGGCCCACGTCTGGCCTGGAGGTTGGTCCTACCTCTACCACTGACTTGCCGGGTGACCTGGGCCAACGTGCCTCCCCCGCCTGGGCCTCGTTCTCCTCGTCTGTAAACTAGGGAGACAGAGGGTGTCTTTCAGAGCTCACACATCCCAAGCCCTATCATCCTGCCTTCGCCCTGAGTTCTTTCTGGACTCGAACCTCCCACAGCAAGGATCTGAGGGACCGGAGGCAGTGTGGGATCCCAGACGCTGAGCCCACATGCTAAGAACCGCGACAGCCCTGACCTGACCTGACCAGTGGCAGGGCGTCACCTCAGTGACTGACACCGCGGCCACCACACAGCCCGTCAGCAGGGCACAGTGATCAGGACCACACACCAAGCAGCAGTGCAGGCCTGGGCCCTGGTGAGTCCCATCCGGGCCTTTAGCAGCTGGCTCAGAAACGGAGCGTCTGAGAGGCAGCCACAAGTTAGGCCCTGTGGAGTGTCAGCCCCAAAGCAAACCTCACCAGTGAAAATGCAGATTTCCCATAAACGTAGGTCTGCCGAGAGGTCAAGTGCTCGGGTGGGTCACCCAGGCCAGCAGAGGCCCTTTGGATGGGTCCCACCCTCCTGTCTCCTCCGCCTGCCGTCTCTGCTAACTGAAGCCTGGTATCCGGGTCCCTCAGAGCTGAGGTGGGAAGAGCAGGGTGCCCTGACAGGGTGGGTGGACTCACCCCCTTGCCGGGCCGCGCCCAGGTGCAGATGAGGCCCTCTTGGCAGGCAGTGATGATGCAGTCCTCCAGGAAGAGCAGCACGGTCAGGCGCTCCTGAGCGATCTTCTTGCACACCAGCGGCTCCAGCAGCGGGACCTCGTGGATGCGAGGGCACAGGGCCGTGCCCAGCACTTTGGCTGGGTCCAGGCGGCTGCGGGGAGCGGGGCCACTGAGCTTGTCGCTGCTGCTGCCGCCGCCCCCGCCGCCCCCGCGGCTGATGTTCCCCAGGCTGTGGTAGCGCTTATGCTCCTTCTCGGCCCCTCGGTCCCGCCGCTCCTGCAGGGTCAGCGTGGCGAAGCGGCCGATGCTGAATGGTGTGCCCGGCTCCATCGCTGCGCCCGGCGCACCGGCCTTGCCACCACCAGCTGGGTGGGGGAGGCTGTTGGACCGTGACAGGGAGCGGGGCAGGGGGCCTGGGCCTGCCTCTCCGGCCCGAGAGCTACCCGAGGCTGGCGGGGTGGCCCCGGGTGTGCCTGGGAGGGTGCGGGTGCGGGCCAGGGAGGGGTGAGGGGAGAGCACGTCCTCCGTGAGGTCCCACAGGCAGAACTGTGTGTCCTGGCCAGCTGAGCCAAAGCGGTAGGTGATGGAGCCAGCCTTGGGCAGAGGGGACAGTGGGGTTCCTGTGTCGGAGCTGCTGGCCTCCGGCTCCTCCTCCTCACCACCGGCATCTCCATCAGCACTGGCTGACGTGGCCTCCTCTGCCCGTGTGGTGTAGGGATCAAAGGCCACAGCATTGACCCAGGACTTGTGGCCGTGGCCCCGAGCCACCACGCGACCCTCCGTGAAGGACCACACGGTGACCAGGTCATCCTCCCCTCCCGTCACCACATAGCGGCCGTCGGGGCTCCAGCACACACACAGCAGACCCCCGAAGTAGCTCTTCATGAGTCCCCGCAGGAGCATGCTGTCAAAGTGAAAGACGCGCAGGCAGCCGTCCTGGCTGACGCACGCCAGGTGCCTGCCGTCCGGCGAGAAGGCGAACTCGTTGAGGGGCCCCTCGCCCACCGCCCACTTGGCCAGCGGGTTGCGGGGAGCCTTGCTCTTGGCTGCGTAGACGGCGAAGCCCTCGCCCTGCTTCAGCAGGCTGTACTGGGGTGGGGTGGAGGCGCAGGGGTGGCTGACGTTGTACAGGTACAGGTGGCCGCTGGCGTGGGAGGCCAGGAACAGGCTCTCTGACTGGGGCAGCCACTTCAGGTACGTCACCTTGGTCTTGTCAATCAGCCGCTGCAGAGGGCGGGGCAGGGAGGAGGGGGGCGGTGTGACTACCTCAGGGACCCTGTTATGCCCTGGACCCCAGCTCCCCTCTGACTGGACCCCACAGGAACACGGGGAGGAAGGGAGGTCTGAAGCAGCTCCACGGAGCCCCTCCGTGTCCCACTTCTGATCAAGGAACAGCCCTGTCTGTCACAGGATTATCCTCCAGCATGACATAAAGACGAGACCTTCAATCCCATAAAGCCAGGTTCCCGAGAGAGGGTCCCCATCACGAGTCCCAGCTGTCAGAGCAGCACCCAGACGACGCCCCTGCACGAACTCACCCCCTTCCAGCTGCACTGTCAGCCCCCTCCAGGTACCCCCACAATGAAGTCTCCTCTTCCCACAAAAGCCCAGCGTGCCCAGAAACCAGTCTCTCAACTCCCACCCCAAGCGCGCCGGTCCCACTTCCTACAATGCCTTCCCAAGAGCCTCTTCTGGTGGTTGGAGATCAGTAAGTCCAAGCCAGCCCTTAGCACTGCCCTGCCTGAGTCCCCACAGCTTGAGGCAGCCGGGCGGAGAAAGCCACCAGCCCCCGTCACCTTGGCCCCATGGCTGGGATGCAGGAGGGAATGTGGGGTCACTCCTCTGCTCTGTTGATGAGGGAGGGCTTTCCAGGCCGGCCAGCGCCTCCCCTTTCTCAGCAAGCACCTTCGTCCTCTCCCCCTCGGCTGCTCCCCTGGCCGCCAGCTGTCCTGTCTGGGTGTGTGTCTAATTGCTCCTTCTACTCTCCAGCCCAGGCAGGTCTTGAACTTTCGACCCTTCCGTGCTAAGAAGCCCGCACTAAGAGGCCCAGCCCATTCTGTCTGCTTAAATGTCCTTCCCTGGGGGTCAGCCCTCTCCAGCCTGACAGCGTGGCCAGGGCAGCTGTCCACCTGCTCTGAGCTGTTCCTGGACAGAGACCTGCACAGGAGGGGATGATCGCGGTCCGGGGGTGGGGGAGTGCCTTCCTTTCTCCCTCGAGAACATCTGTGGGCCACCTCCCTGGACCAGGGACAGTATGACAAGAGCAAGGACCTCCCTGCCAGCTGGCTAAAGTCATCTCCTGGCATTTCCTTTAAGGCACGTTAGTCCAACCTAGGCGTGCCTGTGCATGAGTTTAGACAGCCCTGTGAGAAGGGGATTCAAACCCCGCTCTGCAGAAGACAACTACGGCTCGGGGAACGAATCAATTCTCAAAACCACTCAGTAGCCAACGACACAGCAGGGACAAGAATCCAAAGCCGAAAGAGCCCAGAATTTGAAGTCAACAAAAACATCAACAACGTCCCAACGGCCTGTACGTCTCGTCTTCCCCTGTGAGACGGGCACCATACCCATCCGTGGCTGAGACCGTTACGAGCAATGCCTTCTCTCAGCAGAAGGCTAACACAGCAGGGGACCAGGACACCCCGCCCCTCTGAGGCCGACTCTTCCCAGGGGTGGGTAGGGAAAAGGGGCGCCGTGCCCTCGGTCACCTCTTCATTGAATAGCTTGCTGGTGTCCTTCTTGATGAGGTCCAGGTACTGCACCTGGCCGGCAGAGAAGCCCACCAGCAAGGAAATGGTCTCTGTGGCGGCCGTGAACTGGTTGAAGTCGTGGCAGGTGGGCTGGGTCCCCTTGTAGATCCGCTTGTCCAGCGGCTTGTTGAGGTCGATGGACTGCAGCCATGGGGAAAGAGTTCGCGGGTTAGGGCACGGGGAGGAAGGAAGAGGAAGCTGAGGCCGGGGGAAACCACCAACAGGAAGCAGGGTTAACCTCGAGGGAAGTGGCGAGGTGGGGGGGGGCACCGCAGACCGGAAGGGGATTCAAACCCAGGACGGCACACACAGGCTCACCTACGCTGCGGCTGGCAGCCCCGGGTCCAGAGAGCCCAAAGGTCTGTTCCTTCATTTATTTAAGCACATGTAATAGTACATGCCTTTGTGCATTATGCACGTGCATGAGAGGTCAGAGGTCAACATTTAGCGTCTTCCCCCGTGGTTTTCCGTCTGACATTTGACGTCGGGTCTCTCGGGGACTCTGCCTCTGCTGCCTGCACTGGGGTTGCAGACTCACACTGCTGCTCCCTTTTACATGGGGTACTACGGGGATCCAGACCCAGGTGTCCACGCGTTCAAAGCACACATTCCACCCAGTGTCATTTCTTTCCGCCTGGAGTCCCTAAACTTCAGGACATCTGCCATAGTCGGGACACCCATCCATCATCACGCTCCCTCGTGTTTTAGGTGCACTGCACGGCCGCCCCTGGACTCTCAGGACCCCCTCGGTCCCCTTGTAGGACTCAATCGCTTTAGAGTCGTCTGCCACACCTGGGGGGGGGTTGTCCCCTGCCAGAGACTCCATCGACTCAGAATCCCCATCAGCTCCTGCAAACTCCGCTCGTTTCCTCCGGAGCCTCAGTCCTGAGTCACCGAGTTCCTCCTCGGATCCCACCCACCCACCTGTCGCTTCCATCGCCGACCCCTACGCCAACACCCCCCGTCCTCCCTGCCCTCGACACTGTACTCCTGGGTCTGGTCAAGTCTCCTGACTCCCTCCAGCACGCCCAGGACGCGGGACTGATTTCTGCCCTGCTCGCCGTCTCCCCGGGGCCCGCACCCTCTCCCGGACTCCTGTCCCCTCGGAAGCCGTGACCTCCCGCCCCGTCTCCTCTCAGGAGCCCCATCACGCCCAGAACCCCCACCTCCACCTCCACCTCCACGAACCCCCGCCCCCGCGAGAAGATTCGCCCGGAGCCTCGGAGACCGCATTAGCTCCGGGAGCCGGGCCCCGCCCCGGGATGCCCGGGCTCCGATGCCTTCCTCTGCCACTCTCGGGCCCCGGATGCGCGCTCGCTCGCTCGCTCGCTCGCTCACCCGTTGGCTCCCGCGGCGGCAGCAGCCGGGGTAGAAGTAAAGCTCGCGGCCCAGGTTGAAGCAGACGCGGTCTCCTCCCGAGCCCAGCCCCGAGGGCGTGGAGGGCGGCTCCCCGGCGCCGTCGGGCTCGCCGAGGCGCACCAGGCTGAGGCGGACGGCGGGCAGCGCGGGCCCCGGGCCGGGGCCGGGACCGGCGGGCGGCGGGGACGACGCGGGGCCCGCGGGGCCGGGGCCTGGGGCGGCCGCGGGGCCGGGCGGCGGCTGGGGCGGCTGCTGGGGCGGCGCCGCCGGGGTCTGGGCGGAGGCCGGGCCCGGCCTGCGTGCCGCGTCGCCGGGAAGCAGCTTGTAGAAGCCCTCGCGGGTGCGGAACTGCGACTTGATCTCGGCGCAGTCGCCCATGGCGGCGCCGGGCCCCGCTCCGCCCTCCGCGCCGCCCGCCGCCATCTTGGCCGCCCACCGGGGCCCCCGCCGCAGCCCGCCCGCCGCCGCCGGACCCCCAGCCGGAAGTTGCCGACCTAGCGCCGGAAGGGGGAGGGTCCGTCGTCCGGGCGACGCCTCTGCGATTGGCACCCGGAGCCGGAGGCGGGAGGAGCCGGGGACAGTTGCTGAGGTAACGGTCCTGGGGCCGTGGGCGGGGCTGCGGCGTGGGCGGGGCTGCGGCGTATGGGGGCGTGGTCAACGCGACAGACGCCGGGCAGTGGCCGGCTGCGGGGCGTGGCCCCGATGGGGACGCCCGCGGCCCTAACGACGGCGCCCGGGGAGCCGTTTGCCTAGCAACGGAGGAACCTCCGATTCCTCGTGTTTTTACAGCTGACTCCAGGCGATTCTTGCATTCTTTTTTAAATTAAAAATAAAAGACTGCATGTGTTTATTTTTTGTGTGCTTTCGCGTTGGACAAGGACGATGGCGGGGTCAGAGGGAGTCGTGGGTCCTAGGGATCGGAATCAGGTCCCCACGCCATCCCCCACGGAGCCATCTATCTCCCTGACCTCTGTTCGGCCTCACACTTGTAACCCAGGCTGTCCTCGAACTCGACCCAATGCTTCTGCCTCGGCCTCCAGACGCGAGACACCGCACCCAGCTCCCTGTTTCATTCTTCCTCTCTGCCCTGTCGTGTCACCTGTGGGTCCCCTGCTGCTGTCGTGGTGAAGCCCTGCGTGCCTGTCTGAGTCTGCCCGCCCCTTTGGGCTTTGTTTTCCTGACGATGGTCGGCTTTGTCCATTTGACATCACCTAGAATCACAGGGAAGACAATCGCAGTGGGGGACTCCAATCTGTAGGGTAAAATAGCACCCTGCCCCTGCCTGACCTGACCAGAGCTGGAAATCCCAGTGTCAGGCTGCAAAATCCCACCAATCCCGGAGCACAAAATCCCACCAATCCCTGGGCTTGCCCCAGAATCAGGCTGCAAAACCCACCAATCGCAAGACGCCCTGGGAAACTGCTGCCCACCACCACCACCATCGCCTCCTATGGAAGCTCTGTGCCCTGTTGAGTTTGCCGCTGCTGCTTCTCACCCTGTTGAGTGGTGCCGCTGCTGCTTCTCACCCTGGAGGCAGCCACACTCTTGGATGTTTCCTCACCAATAAATCTCTTGAGTGGGGTTTGTTGTGTGATGTGACACTTTCGCCGCAGAGAGGACTGGAACACTTTCCCTCCCTTTGCAGAGCGGGCTGTAACACCGCCGCTGGGCCTGAGCACAGATGTAACAACTTGGTTGGGAAACACTCCAGAACAGAGCTGTTACACCAGCGTTGGGGAAACTGTCCCCTGGGCAGAGCTGTGAGCTCCTACACTTACAGAGACGTTGTGGTATTTTTCCTTGGCTCCTGACTGCTAGGATACATTTCCATCCGAGCTTCAACACTGTCTGTAGGCATGTCTGGGGCTAACTGTCTTAGTGATGCGGGAAGAGCCAGTCCACAATGGGAGGCACCATGCCCTAGGCAGGGGGTCCTGAACTTTGTAAGAGTGGAGACTTGCACTCCTCTCCACTATTGACTGGGGACATTCCGGCCTTGACTTCCCTGCTGTGATAGGCTGTGTCCTGGGAATGCAAGCTGAAATAGCGGGGTTTTTCCCCCCAGAGTTGCCCCATGTCAAGGTATTTTATATTTCTTTTTCTTTTTTGGCTTTTTGAGACAGGGTTTCTCTGTGGCTTTGGAGGCTCTCCTAGAACTCACTCTGTAGACCAGACTCCTGGCTGGTATTTTATATTTTATCACATCGGCAGAAGAAAAGCTAGCTCTGCCTTGCCACCTATTTATTTATTTATTTATTTATTTAGGGAGACAATGTCCCCGGCTCAGGCTGAGTTCCTCCTTACTTTGTAGCTGAAGAAAACCATGAACTCCAGGAATTCCTGCTTCTACCTCTTCCAGATGGACATGACACCATTTGTGTGGTGGTGAGGATAGAACCCAGGACTTTGCGCTGCTGGGCAAGCACGCCACTGACTGGTTGTGAACTGCCATGTGGGCGCTGGGACTTGAACTCGGGACTTTTGGAAGAGCAGCCAATGTTCTTAAACACTGAACCATCTCTCTAGCTACCCCCACCCCCAGCAAAGATTTAAAAACTGGCCTGGCGTTGGTGGCACACGCCTTTAATCCCAGCACTCAGGAGACAGAGGCAGGCGGATCTCTGTAAGTTCGAGACCAGCCTGGACTACCAAGCCAGTTCCAGGACAGCCTCCAAAGCCACAGAGAAACCCTGTCTCGAAAAACCAAAAAAAAAAAAAAAAAAAAAAAAAAAAGATTTAAAAACTGAATGGGGTTGGAGGGCCCAAGTTCAGTTCCCAGTCCCCATATCAGGGGGACTCACAAATGCCTGTTATGTTAGTAAGGCAACATGGGACCTGGCTCCTTCTTCTGGCCTCTGAAGGCATCTTCACACACATACACAGACACCCACATACACATAAATGAAAATCTTTAAAAGCAAGCTAGCTTCTGGGCGTTGGTGGCACACGCCTTTAATCCCAGCACTCGGGAGGCAGAGGCAGGCGGATCTCTGTGAGTTCGAGGCCAGCCTGGTCTACAGAGTGAGCTCCAGGACAGCCAGGGCTACATGGAGAAATCCTGTCTTGAGAAACCAAAAACAAAGAAGTAAATCAGTGCACGCAAACGTGAAGAAGGAATGAATGAGCCAACTGCCGGGTATGATGAATGAATGAATGACTTAGCGGCTGTGCCGTGGGGGCGGGGTTTATTGGGAGCCCTGGGTGATTCCTGCCCGTGTCCTGCAAGGGCTGGGGAGAAACTGGAAAAATACGATCTGTAACTACAAATGGGGGCAAGGCCGTGGGACTCAGTCCTCTAGGTCTTCGTCCTCCTCCTCCTCCTCGTCCTCTTCCTCCTCCTCGGCGGCCGCCAGGGCCTGCTCCTGAGCAGCCTTCAGGGCCTGCTCCTCCTCCACGGTGGGGTCGCTCATCTCCATGATCTCGGGGCCGCTGGGGTACTCCTGCTGAATCGGAGCCGGCAGGGAGGGGTTGAAGTTCTCAGGGCTGTACTTGTGACCCCAGCCAATGTACAGGTTCTCAAACTTCCTAGGGAGACAGGCAGACATTCCCTTTGAGGGCGGCACTCGGTGCAGCGGCGGAGCGGCGCTGCAGTCACCATGGGCAGGTGGGAGGAACACACGGGGAGCTTCTCGGTCCGTCTGTCCGTCCCGGTCTGCGTTCACCAGGTCTAAAGTGGCCATGCCACCGACAATTGGCAAGGGGACTGGAGGGCTGAGTGTGTGTGTGTCTGTGTGTCTGTCTGTATATCACCTGTGCTGGTTTGTGCACATGCGTGCAGTGCCTGCAAAGGCCAGAAGAGGGCACCAGGCCCCAGGGGTTGGAGTTGCAGATGGCTTCGAAGCTGCCCAATTTGGGTGCTGAGAACCTGAGCTCAGTACAAGCTCTCCACTTTGAAGACGCGGTCTCTCTGTAAACAGCTCTGGCTGGTGTGGAACACACTTACGCACACGAGGCCGACCTCAGACTGCTACAGCTCTGCCTGCTTCTGCCTTCGGAGTGTGGGGACTGAAGGGGGCATTGCCCGAGCTCAGCTCTTAACTTATATTTTGAGGCAGAGTCTCTTCACCAGGTCTGGCACTCCTTAATTCTGCCAGGCTGGCTCACTAGTCAATTCCAGGGATCCATTGATCCCCAGCCCCTCACTGGGGAGATTCTAGGCAGGGGCTCTACCACTGAGCCACACCCCAGCCCCTCACTGGGGGATTCTAGGCAGGGCTCCACCACTGAGCCACACCCCAGCCCCTCACTGGGGGATTCTAGGCAGGGCTCTACCACTTAGCCACGCCCCAGCCCCTCACTGGGGGATTCTAGGCGGGGCTCTATCACTGAGACACACCCCAGCCCCTCACTGGGGAATTCTAGGCAAGGACTCTATCACTGGGACACGCCCCCAGTCCCTCACTGGTTTGGGCAGCAAATACTTTACCCACTAAGCCGTCTTCTCAGCCTTTGATGTCTTCTATCCCTAATCATGTCTGAGTCTATTGGTCTCTGGTCTCGTGTTGCCAACATCCCTCACTGCCTCCCTTTGCTGATTTCTCATTTCATTCTCAGGGAGTCACAGATGGCGACTGCCTTACGTCTACTGAACCTTGTTTGAAGAGTCAGTTCACATTCAGTCTTGGTGTGTTTCCGTGGACACCAGAGAAGAACTGTGTTCTGCTGTTTTAGGGTGCAGTGACTTCGATTTAATTTTAGTTAATTTCGATTTTAAAAATAAAACATACTTAATTTGGCTATTGGAAAACCTCCAAAGAGTCCTGGGACAACTTGGGTACATGAATCTGCTGTTACTTCTTTTTTCTCTTTATGGGAGTATGTCACCACATATCCTAGACTGGCCATAAACTGGAAACTCCTGCTTCAGCTTCCTTGGTGCTTGGATAACAGATACGTATTAGGAGTCTGGCTAAGGTTAATTTATTTCTCCTAGTAGTACTGGAGGTTGAAGCCAGGGTCTTCTGTCATTTAGGAAAGCACTTATCTGCTGAGCCACACCCCCAGCCCCTCACTGGAGGATTCTAGGCAGGGGCTCTACCACTGAGCCACATCCCCAGCCCCTCACTGAGGGATTCTAGGCAGGGGCTCTACCACTGAGCCACACCCCCAGCCCCTCACTGAGGGATTCTAGGCAGGGGCTCTACCACTGAGCTGTATGTATGTAGCCTCAGTTCTTTTTTTTTTAATCTTGAAATACATTCTAGGTTGCTCCAGCTAGACTTAAGCTCCCTCTGCAGCCAAAGCTGGCCTTGGAATAACTCATGTTCTCTCTGCCTTGGCTTCCTGATTATCTGAGCTTACTGGAGTCATGAGCCTGTGCCACCAGACCAGCAAGTCTTTGTGATGAAAACTTCACATCCAAACTGAAATTCATTTTACTGGAAAATATATTCCAGATTCTGAAAACTTGTTATGAAATAAAGAATGAAAATTAGGAGCTGTGTGGTGGTGGCACACACCTTTAGTCCCAGCACTGGAGAGGCAGAAGCAGGTAGATCTCTGTGAGTTCGAAGCCAGCCTGTTCTGCAGAGCGTGCGACACCAATGCCCAGATTCAAGAGTTTCTTATAGGGCCAAGTATGACGACATGCACCTGTAATCCCAGTACTCCAGAAATGGAGGCAGGAGGATTGGGAGTTCAAGGCCTGCCAGAGCTGTATAGTGAAAACCTGCATGGACAACAATAAGGTTCTTTGGGGGCTACAGAGACAGAGGTACAAGCCAGACAAGTGAAGTCTGAAATGCACACACACACACACACACACACACACACTTTGCACGCATGCACACAGGCGCTCACACAATGCGCACACACATGCACACACACATTTGCACGCACATGCATATATATGTATTCGCACATGGGCTGGAACACAGACATGCACAATTTAAAACAATTCTTAGGCACTTGTGGTGGCGCATGCCTTTAATCCCAGCACTCGGAAGGCAGAGGCAGGCGGATCTCTGTGAGTTCGAGGCCAGGCTGGACCAACAGTCTCCAAAACAATACAGGGAAACCCTGTCTCGAAAAACCAAAAAAAAAAAAAAAAAAAAAGAGAGAGAGACAAAAATACATGGGCGAATTACTGAACTGGCGGATGCAGGGATGGAGGACCGGATGGCGGGTGAGGGGATGCTGGGTAAGTGGGGGAAGGGCGGGAGGGAGGGCCGGTGTGGAGATGAATGGGCATGAGGATGTAGGGGCCAGTAAAACTCAGTTTGATTTTCAGAGATGTTTTTAAACGTTAATGTTTGGCCAGAGTAAGAGGGTTAGAGAAATCCTAGTCCCAAATTCTGCACAAACAAAAAAATAATTCACAAGAATATGGTCAAAAGGAGGGGGGGGGAGAGGGAGCTGTGATTGACATGTGAAACAAGCTTGTTTCTAACTTAAATAAATAATTTTAAAAAAGAATATGGTCAAAGCATCAAATTTCCGTGAAACTCCTTCAGGACTAAGCCCAGAGCTCAACAATGCTGTGACCATCCAGGGTTCAGAGCAGACAAGCCCTGCCCTCTGGTGGACGGATCTAGTATCGCAGCCAGGCTCTCTGAAGGCTGGGCTGGACTGGGAGGTTGGTGAGCTTATTTAGGGGTTTAGAGTCAATTTAAAGGTTAAAAAGGTTGGAAGTGTCAATATGTATTTTTGAGACTGGGGTCTCTCTATGTAGCCCTGGCTGTCCTGGAACTCTCTCTGTAGGCCAGACTGGCCTCAAACTCGCAGAGATCCACCTGCCTCCGCTGGGGTTAAAGGCGCACGCGCCACCACTGCCTGGCTGGTAGGTACCATAGACAATCCCTCGGGTCAAGGTAAAATCGTACTTGCCAACGGCGTAGGCGTAGGCCCCTGGCCAGAGGTTGGAGCGCACAATGGCCACCGAATATTGCGGGCTGAGGCTGCAGGAGAGACGGGTGGTCCAGGGCGACAGGTGCATGATCTCTGTCGTGAGGAGGAGGAAGAGCACAGTGGTGTCAGGGGTCCCCAAGCCCCGCCTTACTACATGGGTGGAGAGGAGGCCCAGAGGAGCCCAGGCGGGAGTTACAAATCACACGGAGAGCCCGGGCTCTGGCCCCTCTCTGTCCTGATGTGCAGAAGCCGCACCACCTGCCTCTGCTTCCGGGAAGGAAATGAGGACACCTGTGTCACCACCCCCCCCATGGGTGGTAGTGAGGTCTGGCAGCCATGCCACCAGCAGGGAGCTCCCAGGACCAGGGCGCTGTGGCCTCATGCACAGGACCGGGGCCACCCTCCCTCTCTGCTCCAAGTGTCCCAGCCTTAGGGGGTCCCTGCCACGAATACAAAATCCAACCCTTGGCTGCCTCCCCTGGGGGGGGCTCCTAAACTCTCTCTTCCCCAAGCCTGGGGTCGGGTGAAGGGGCTCAAAAGACCTTCTCCCAGTTAGGTGTGGGGACACAAGCCAGTAATCCCAGCACGGAGGCGGCCAGCCTGGGCTACAGAGTGAGACCTGCCTTAAACAGCGATTCCCACGGCAGCCCCCCCCCCCCCGTGAGAGAGAAAACTAGGAAAGAGACTCTGCTTCAAGGCCATGGTGATTGTTATGTGCCAGTGAGGCTTAGTGACAAGAGGGACACATTCTACCAGACCCATGGTTTTTTTTTTTTTTTTTTTTTGGTTTTTCGAGACAGGGTTTCTCTGTGGCTTTGGAGGCTGTCCTGGAACTCGCTCTGTAGACCACGCTGGTCTCGAACTCACAGAGATCCGCCTGCCTCTGCCTCCCGAGTGCAGGGATTAAAGGCGTGCGCCACCACCACCCGGCTTCAGACCCATGGTTTTGTTGTTGTTGTTGTTTTGGAGGGGGTCTTTGTTTGTTTTTAAAAAACAGGTTCTAAGTAGCCCAGGCTGGTCTCAAACTCCTTGTGTAGCTGAGGATGCCTCCTGAGCCTCCTGCTTCTCCCTCCCTAAGGCTGGGGTGACAGACTTGTGCACAGAAGTTGGGTGACACCAGGGTCCCCACACCCCCAGCCCCTCGCAGGCCGGCACTGCCCCTGCCCCCAGGGGAGGACTTGGACTCACCCGCGTCTTCGGAGAGGGGGGTCAGAAGTGGAGGACCCACCTCCTGCTCCACCTCCTCCAACCCCTCGTCTGCCTTCTCCTCCTCCTCCCCTAGCTCCTCCTCCTCCTCTGTCTTCTGCATGGGGTTCACCCACGTACAGCGACCCTGGGGGTGCAGAGGCAGACTCAGCTGGCACCCACACACAGAGCCCAACCTACTCTGGGAGAAGGCGGAGGTGCCAGACAGGACCCGAGGACACTGGTCCTGTCCCCAGTGAGCATCAGGGTGGGGACACATTGCTGAGAAAAGAGACCTCAGCATTCTCTCTCTCTGTCTCTCTCCCTCTCTCTCTCTCTCTCTCTCTCTGTCTCTCTCTGTCTGTCTGTCTGTCTCTCTCTCTCTCTGATACTGATGTCAAGCAAACACTGAGCTACACACTCCCAGCTTCATTTATTTTGATGTTGCTATTTTCTTGCTTTCTTGTTGTTTTTCAAGACACTGTTTCTCTGTGTAGCCCTGGCTGTCCTGGAACTCGCTCTGTAGACCAGGCTGGCCTTGAACCCAGAGATCTGCCTGCCTCTGCCTCCCGAGTGCTGGGATTAAAGGTGTGTGTCACCAACACCCGGCGGCTCTGTTGTTTTTGACACAGGGTCTTGTTCTGTGACCTTGAACTCCGTCTGATCACTAACCGCTTTTTGAATAAGAAGTACAGGCCGGCACACAGCATAGCGCCACCTCCCATTTCCCCACCGCGAAGCAGGGTCAGTCAGTGCCTGTCCTGGTCACAGTTCTTTGAAGCACGCATGGCAGCTTGTGCCTGCTGTGCCGGTTTGCAGCTGCTGTTGTGTGGGTTTGTTTATCAGCTTGATACAAGCTAAAGTCATCCAGGAAGAAGGAAACTCGGCTGAGGAAAAGCCTCTATCTGATTGACCCGGAAGCAAGTCTGTGGGGCATTTTCTTCATTAATGATTGATGTGAGAAGGCCCAGCCCACTGTGGGCGGAGCCATCTCTGGACCAGTGGTCCTGGGCTGTGTAAGAAATCATCACACACCCACACACTCACAAACACAGTCACACAGACACACTCATGCACACACACACTCACACACACAGTCACACAGACACACTCACACACACTCACACACACATACACTCACACACACACACACACACACACACACACACACACGTGTACTGGTGGCTCACGCCTTAAATCCCAGCGCTCAGGAGGCAGAGGCAGGTGGATCTCTGAGTTCCAAGTCAACCAGGGCTACACAGAGAAACACTTTCTTGAAAAGAAAAAAAGAAAAGAAAGGAGAGCTATTTGAATGTAATCAAGTACTGCAAAGTCAGCAACAGTAGTTGACTGAATGAATCAATTCACTAGTGAATTAATTAGATGTCCCCAGCTGGGCCAGTGAGACGGTTTAATGGTTAAAAGTGTCTATGGAAAAGCCTGCCGTCCTGGGTTCAGTTCCCAGGACCCACATTGTGGAAGGTGAGAGCAATTCTCCCGGGAGGACTAAAACCCAAGGCTGATGTCAGGACCCCGAAGGCACTCTGACACAACCAGCATTGTCGCCACCTGTACCCATTCAAAAACCCTAAAAACACGCTCTGCTGAAGAAAAGGGCACTGCCGGTCACGGCGTCTGTTACAGCAGCCGGTTTCCCCAGAAGCGAGCCTACAGCCCCTGACCTGAGCTGATGAACACCATTCCTGTTTCAGGAAGAAATGCCCATTACAGCGCTGTCCTTGCCTGTCCTGGGCCCTAGGGCGTGGAGCCTGTGCCTGGTCCCTCTTTAAGACCAAGGTCCGCCGGGCATTGGTGGCGCACGCCTTTAATCCCAGCACTCGGGAGGCAGAGGCAGGCGGATCTCTGTGAGTTCGAGGCCAGCCTGGTCTCCATAGTGAGTTCCAGGACAGCCTCCAAAACAATACAGAGAAACCCTATCTCGAAAAACCAAAAAAAATAAATAAATAAATAAAAATAAAAAGACCAAGGTCCATCTGACCCCAAGGTGTCTGTTGGGGGTAATCAACCAATTCCTATTCAAGGAAATAAGGAGGGCAGGGCATGAGGGATGGATGGATGATGATGGATGATGATGGATGATGATGGATGATGATGGATGATGGATGATGGATGATGATGGATGATGATGATGGATGATGATGGATGATGATGGATGATGATGATGGATGATGATGGATAATGATGGATGATGATGGATGATGATGGATGATGATGATGATGATGATGGATGATGATGGATGATGATGGATGATGGATGATGATGGATGATGATGGATGATGATGGATGATGATGGATGATGGATGATGATGGATGATGATGGATGATGGATGATGATGGATGATGATGGATGATGATGATGATGGATGATGGATGATGATGATGGATGATGATGGATGATGATGATGGATGATGATGGATGATGATGGATGATGATGATGATGGATGATGATGGATGATGATGGATGATGATGGATGATGATGGATGATGATGGATGATGGATGATGGATGATGATGGATGATGATGGATGATGATGATGATGATGGATGATGATGGATGATGGATGATGATGGATGATGATGATGGTGGATGATGATGGATGATGATGGATGATGGATGATGATGGATGATGGATGATGATGGATGATGATGGATGATGATGGATGATGATGGATGATGATGATGATGGATGATGATGGATGATGATGATGATGGATGATGATGGATGATGATGGATGATGATGGATGATGATGGATGATGATGATGGATGATGATGGATGATGATGGATGATGGATGATGATGGATGATGATGGATGATGATGATGGATGATGATGATGGATGATGATGGATGATGATGGATGATGATGGATGATGATGGATGATGATGATGATGGATGATGATGGGTGATGATGGATGATGATGATGGATGATGGATGATGATGGATGATGATGGATGATGATGGATGATGATGGATGATGATGATGGATGATGATGGATGATGATGGATGATGGATGATGATGGATGATGGAGGATGGATGATGATGATGGATGATGATGATGATGATGGATGATGGATGATGATGGATGATGATGGATGATGATGGATGATGATGGATGATGGATGATGATGATGATGATGGATGATGGATGGATGATGGATGATGATGGATGATGGATGGATGGATGATGGATGATGGATGGATGGATGGATGATGGATGATGGATGATGGGTGATGATGGATGATGGATGATGATGGATGATGATGGATGATGATGGATGATGATGGATGATGGATGATGGATGATGATGATGATGATGGATGATGGATGGATGATGGATGATGATGGATGATGATGGATGATGATGGATGATGGATGATGATGGATGATGATGGATGATGGATGTATGTATGGATGATGATGGATGATGATGGATGATGGAGGATGATGGGTGATGATGGATGATGGATGATGATGGATGATGATGGATGATGATGGATGATGATGGATGATGATGGATGATGGATGATGATGGATGATGGGTGATGATGGATGATGATGGATGATGATGGATGATGATGGATGATGATGGGTGATGGATGATGATGGATGATGATGGGTGATGATGGATGATGATGATGGATGATGATGGATGATGATGGATGGATGATGGATGATGATGGATGATGGATGATGATGGATGATGATGATGATGGATGGATGATGATGGATGATGATGGATGATGATGGATGATGATGGATGATGATGGATGATGATGATGGGTGATGATGATGGATGATGATGGATGATGATGGGTGATGATGGATGATGGAGGATGATGGGTGATGATGGATGATGGATGATGATGGATGATGATGGATGATGATGGATGATGATGGATGATGATGATGATGGATGATGATGGATGATGATGGATGATGGATGATGATGGATGATGATGGATGATGATGATGGATGATGATGGATGATGATGGATGATGATGGGTGATGATGGGTGATGGATGATGATGATGGATGATGGATGGACAGCAGGTGGCTGGATCAGTGAATGGATGTTGAGTGGATGGGTGGGTGGGTGGGTGGGCAGACTGATCAGTGTATAGAGAGGGAGATGGTTGGGTAGATGAATACGGTGGATAAATATGGATTGATGGACAGTTGACAGACCAGTGGGGGGATGGACAGACTAATGAATGGATTGATGGGTGAATGGATCTGTGGTTGGAAGGCAGGGTAGCTGGGTGGAGGGTTTGTCTGGTTGATGGATAAGTAGATGGTGGATGGGTGGATGGGTTGGGTGGGTGGGTGGAGCCAAGGGAGGATGTTGGGTGGATGAACCAATGTGTGAATGGATGGATAGATGAATGGATGTGTGGTTGGATGGTTGGGTAGATGAGCGAGTGTGTGGACGGATGAGTGAGTGAGTACAATACTGGATGGATGAATTCATGGATGGATGGATGCACGCATGGATGCACGGTTGCACAGATGCATGGACTGAGAGACACGGTCAGCATCACGCGTGCGTTTATCACACAGATGCTGGGCTGCGTTGGGGTGGGTCCTGCTCGGGGCACTCGGTCCTCACCTGCGGCAGGATGTGCTGCATGTGATGTACCCAGTTGGCCATGGAATCCACGAGCTCCAGAACAGGGATGCCCTCGAAGTCGGGGTTCTCCTCGAAAGAGTCGCGCCCCGCGCCGCCCTCCTCCTCCTCATCGCCCTCCTCCTCGCCGAACTGGTAGAAACCCAGCGGGCTGATGTGCGTGGCGGCCGAGATGCGCGCAATTTGCGCGCGTAGGTAGTTGGCCTCGTTGCCCGGGAAGGGCGGGTAGCTGACGACCGGCGTGTCCAGGAAGCCGGTGAAGAACTTCTTGATCTTGCGCGCGCTCACGATCTGCGCGGGCGTCACGTGCGGCAGGCGCGTCCACGGGCGGCCCGGCTCGTTGCACACGAAGTACAGGTACTTGTTGGCCCCCGTGCGGCTCTCCTCCTTGGGGATGACGGGCGGCGGCTTCCACTGCGGTTTGGGCACCTCGTCCACCACCTTCTCCTCGTCCTCCTCGCCCTCCTCCTCGCCGTGCGCCTCCAGGACCTCGCCTCCCTCCATCTCCTCCACCTCCTCCTCCTCGCCCTCCTCCTCGCCCTCGCGGAACTCCACCTCGGCCACCAGGTAGCTGCGGCTCAGTCCCAGGATCTTGCCCCAGAAGCGGCACGTGTGGATGGGCTGCTGCTCCACCAGCTGCCTCAGGGCCAGGAAGATCCGGAAGCTTTCGTCCGAGCTCAGCCCCACGCCCGCTTGCTCGAAGTAGAAGGCGGTCTCCATGATGTTGGGCACCGGGGTGTCGGTCTGCACAGGGATGGGAGAGAGGGCGGAAGGCTGAAAGGCTCCGGGGTCGGATTGTCACTCTCGCCACCGCCTGGGTCCCCGGGGATGGTACTCTGGTCTGCAGCCTCAGCACTAAGACCTGAGCCAGCCCCGTAGAGTAAGAACCCGGCTAAAGCCACCAGTCCGGGGAATGTCCTCAAGGAGGGTATCCCTTGATGCAAAAGATAGAGAGAGAGAGAGAGAGAGAGAGAGAGAGAGAGAGAGAGAGAGAGAGAGAGAGAGAGAGAGAGAGAGACAGAGACAGAGAGAGAGAGAGAGAGAGACAGAGAGACAGAGAGACAGAGAGGGACAGAGAGAGACAGAGAGAGAGAGAGAGAGAGAGAGAGAGAGAGAGAGAGAGAGAGAGAGAGAGAGAGATGAAACCACACCAGGAGGAGATCTTTTTTGTCCTGACAGAAATGAAGGACAGAAAGCCCGAAGCCACAGCAGCTCGTGGGGAGCCAACAGGCGAGGCTTGGGTGGCCATACTCTACACCCCGACAGCGATGAGGTGACAGGTGGAATTGGGCTTCGGGCGCACAGTTTGCTCTACTACCCTGGCCTTCTTGTTCTACTGGACAAAAAGCCACTGTTGCCAGGCACGGTGGCGCCCAGCACTGGGAAGGCAGAGCCCGATGGATCTCTGAGTTCGAGGCCAGCCTGGTTTGCAGCTCAACTTCCAGCCAGCCAGAGATTGCTGCCAAGACTGTCTAAAAATCAACGCCACTGTTAGCCATGGTGTCTGTGAGTTACAACCCCACGCACTGCCTACCTTTCCACCATGCTCTTGGTTCATGAAGGCCGGGATGGGGTGGAGAATGCAGGGAGGGAGGGAGAGAAGACCAGAAAAATGATGCTTGACAAGAATCCTGGGGGTGAAGCCGGGCGGTGGTGGCACACGCCTTTAATCCCAGCACTCAGGAGGCAGAGGCAGGCGGATCTCTGTGAGTTCGAGGCCAGCCTGGTCTACAAAGTGAGCTCCAGGACAGCCTCCAAAGCTACAGAGAAACCCTGTCTTGAAAAACCAAAAAAAAAAAAAAAAAAGAAGTGAAATGTGTGTTGTGGAGTATGGCCTCTGTCATCTGCTCAACAGGGGGGGTCACAGGCCACAAAGCTCAACATTCCTGTGTTTAGCAATACTGAAATCACCAGCAGCGCCCTAAACTAAGTCACAGCAGCTGAGAAACAAGCTGTCCCAGATGTCTGGCTGGGTTCCTGGCCATCGTTGGAGTCTCTGCCTGCAGATTCACAAGGCATCTTGTGCGCACATGTGCATGCGTGTGTGGGAGCATGCGTGTATGCGTGCGTGCGTGCGTGCGTGTGTCCTGCTTTTTTTTTTTCCGAGACAGGGTTTCTCTGTGGCTTTGGAGGCTGTCCTGGAACTTGCTCTGTAGACCAGGCTGGCCTCGAACTCACAGAGATCTGCCTGCCTCTGCCTCCCGAGTGCTGGGATTAAAGGCGTGCACCACCAATGCTCCCCCCTCCCTCTCTCTCTCTCTCTGTCTCTCTCTCTCTCAGGTTCAGTATTGTAATATCTCTGACAACGTTTAGTCCTTGGTGTGTTCTGTGCTCCTCATGTTTTTTTTTTTCAAGACAGGGTTTCACTGGCTGTCCTGGAACTTGCTCTGTCAACCAGGCTGGCCTCAAACTCAGGAATTCACCTCTTTCTGCTTCCAGAGTGCTGGGATGAAAGGCATGAGCCCACCATGCCTGATGTCACATGAGTTATGGTTTTGTTTTTCTAAATCTGTGAAGTTTTACGTGGGGATTTTCATAGGAATTGTACTAGGTTTTTTTTTCTTTTTCTTTTTTTTCCACAGGCCCCTTTCAACCTCCTATAACTTTTTTTTCATTTTTTAAAATTTATTTTTAAGTTTAAATTTAGATTAGAAACAAGGTTGCTTCACAAGTCAGTTCCAGGTCCCTCTCCCTTTCCCTCCCCTCCTCCCATGTCCTCCCCCCAATCCCCCCATTATCCCCTCATTTCCCCAGGGAGGGTGAGGCTCTCCATGGGGGTGTCCGTAGTCTATCATTTCACCCAGGGCAGGGCCTAGACCTTCCCCCAAGAGTCCGGGTTGAGAGTGCACCTCACATTGTTGGATGGGAGTCCAAAGTCCATGTGTATACTCGGGATGAGTACTGATCTACTGCCCAAGGCTGAATAGATTCCCTAGGCCTCCTCACTGACACCCACATTCAGGGGGTCTTGATCAGTCCCATGCTGGATTCCCAGGCATCAGCCTGGGATTCAAGAGTTAACCTTGGTCAGGTCAGCTGTTTCAGCCCAGTCTTAACCCCTTTGGTCATCAGTTCTCCCTCTCTGTTACTGGCTTTCTTGAGTTCAGCTCAGTGCTTAGCTGTGGGAGTTTGCCTCTTCTTCCATCAGCCACTGAATGAAGTTTCTGTTTCCCAGACTCTCTGGCCATGGGACTGTAGCCTGGCATTCCCCAGATCTATGTCTAAAATCCATATATGAGAGAGTACATGCCATGTTTCTCTTTTTATGACTGGGTTACCTCACTCAGGATGGTTTCTTCTAGTGTCATCCATTTGCCTGCAAATCTCAGGATTCCATTGATTTTTTTCTGCTGAATAGTATTCCATTGTGTAAATGCACCACAGTTTCTCTATCCACTCTTCGGTTGAGGGGCATCTAGGTTGCTTCCAAGTTCTGGCTATTGCAAATAATGCTGCTATGAACATAGTGGAGCAGATGTCCTTGTTGTATGAATTTGCCTCTTTGGATATATGCCTAAGAGTGGAGTTGCTGGGTCTTGTGGTAGGTTTATTCCCATTTTTCTGAGCAATCTCCATACTGATTTCCAAAGTGTCTGAATAAGTTGGCACTCCCACCAGCAATGGAGGAGTGTCCCCCTTTCACCACATCCTCTCCAGCATAAATTGTCATTGGTGTTTTTGATTTTAGCCATTCTGACAGGAGATGGTTTCTCAGAGTTGTTTTGATTTGCATTTCCCTCATGGCTAAGGACGTTGAGCACTTTCTCAAGTGCCTCTCAGCCATTTTAGACTCCTCTATTGAAAATTATCTATTTAGTTTTGCAGCCCACTTTTTAATTGAATCCTTTGGTGTTTTGGAGATTTGCTTCTTGAGTTCTTTGTAAATTTTGGAGATCAACCCTCTGTCAGATGTGGGGTTAGTGAATATTTTTTCCCATTCTGTGGGCTGCCTTTTTGTCTTGCTGACTGTGTCCTTTGCCTTACAGAAGCTTCTCAGTTTCAGCTTTATTTATTAATCGTTGATCAACGATTTATTAATCGTTGATCTCACTGTCTGTGCTAGTGGTGTTATGTTCAGGAAGCTGTCTCCTGTACCAATTCGTTCAAGAGTACCACCCACTTTCTCTTCTAAGAGGTTCAGTGTGGCTGGATTTATGTTGAGGTCTTTGATCCATTTGGACTTAAGTTTTGTGCATGGCGATAAACACGGATCGATCCGCATTCTTCTACATGCCAGCCTCCAGTTATGCCAGCACCATTTGTTGAAGATGCTTTCTTTATTCCGTTGTATATTTGTAGCTTCCTTGTCAAAGATCAGATGTTCATACGTGTGTGGGTTAATATCCGGGTTTTCAATTCGATTCCATTGGTCTACCTGTCTATTTTTGTGCCAATACTAAGCTGTTTACAGGACTATAGCTCTATAATAGAGCTTGAAGTCAGGGATGGTGATGCCTCTGGACATTGCCTTGTTGAACTGGGTTGTTTTGACTATCCTGGGTCTTTTGTTTTTCTATACAAAACTGATTATTGTTCTTTCAAGGTCTGTGAAGAATTGTGCTGGGATTTTAATGGGGGATTGCATTAAATCTGTAGATTGCTTTTGGCAGGATTGCCATTTTTACTACATTGATCCTACCTATCCAAGAGCATGGGAGATCTTTCCATTTTCTGAGGGCTTCTTTAATTTCTTTCTTTAAAGATTCAAAGTTCTTGCGATACAGGTCTTTCACTTGTTTAGTTAGTGTTACCCCAAGGTATTTTATGTTGTTCGTGGCAATTGTAAAGGGTGATGTTTCTCTGATTTCTTTCTCAGCCCTTTTATCATCTGTATATAGTAGGACTACTGATTTTCTTGAGTTGATCTTGTAGCCTGCCACTTTTGCTGAAGGTGTTAATCAGCTGTAAGAGTTCCCTGGTAGAGTTCTTTGGGTCATTTATTTAAACTTTCATATCATCTGCAGACAGTGAAAGTTTGACCTCTTCCTTCCCAATTTGTATCCCCTTGATCCCCCTTTGTTGTCGTATGGCAATAGCTAGAACTTCAAGTACCATGTTGAACAGGTATGGAGAGAGTGGACAGCCTTGTCTTGTTCCTGATTTTAGTGGAATTGCGTTGAGTTTCTGTCCATTTAGTTTGATGTTGGCTGTTGGTTTACTGTATATAGCTTTTATTATGTTTAAGTATGTCCCTGTTATCCCAGATCTCTCCAAGACCTTTATCATGAATGGGTGTTGGATTTTGTCAAAGGCTTTTTCAGCATCTAGTGAGATGATCATGTGGTTTTTCTTTCGCAGTTTGTTTATATGGTGGATTACATTGATGGATTTTCGTATGTTGAACCATCCCTGCATCCCTGGGATGAAACCTACTTGATCGTGATGAATGATTGTTTTGATGTGTTCTTCGATCTGATTTGCCCAGTATTTTATTGAGTATTTTTGCATCAGTGTTCATAAGGATATTGGTCTGAAGTTCTCTTTCTTAGTTGTGTCTTTGTGTGGCTTGGGGATGGAATTGTACTAGTTTTTTTGTTTGTTTGTTTTTCGAGACAGGGTTTCTCTGTATTGTTTTGGAGGCTGTCCTGGAACTCACTCTGTAGACCAGGCTGGCCTCGAACTCACAGAGATCCACCTGCCTCTGCCTCCTGAGTGCTGGGATTAAAGGCGTGCGCCACCAACGCCCGGCTGATTGTGTTTTCTTCTTCTTCTTCTTCTTCTTCTTCTTCTTCTTCTTCTTCTTC